GTGTGTGTGTGTGTGTGTGTGTGTGTGTGTGTGTGTGTGTGTGTGTGAATCTGGGTCCCACAGCTAGTGCATGTTATGTGTCTGAGGCCAGATTTGAACTCAGATTCTCCTGACTCTAGGGCCGGTGCTCTATCCACTGCGCCACCTAACTGCCCCTTCAATTCTAACTTTTAAGGAATGATTTTCTTCTGTGAGCTTTTACACTTTCTTTTTCATTGGACCACTTCTACTTTTTACAGAGTTCTTTTCTTCAACAGAATTTTGTGTATCTTTTTCCATTTGGTTAATTCTGCTTTTTTTTTTTTTTAAGTGAAGCAGTTGGAGTTAAGTGACTTGCCCAGCGTCACATGGCTAGTAAGTGTCAAGTGCCTGGTCTGAGACTAGATTTGAACTCAGGTCCTCCTGACTCCAGAGCCAGTGCTCTATCTACTGTACCACCTAGCTGCTGTGTCAATTCTGCTTTTTAAGGAGTTCTCTCCAGTGGATCTCTGTGCTGCTTTTACCATTTGGTCTATTCTGTTTTTCAAGGGGTTATTTTTTTCAGTATTTTTTTCATGTGTGCCTCCTTTACTGAGCTGTTGACTCTTTTTCCATGATTTTCTTGCATCACTCTCATTTCTTTTCCCCTCTACCTCTCTTATTTGATTATTAAAATCATTTTTGAGCTCTTTCAGGAATTGTTTTTGGGACCAATTCACATTTTTTCTTTGAGGCTTTGCATATATAGCTGTTTTTTACTTTGTTGTTATCTTCTGATTTTATTTTTGACCTTTCCTGTCACCATAGTAACTTTCTATGGTCGGGTTCTTCTTCTTCTTTTTTTTTCTTTTGTTCATTTTTCCAGCTTTTTTCTTGACTTTCGACTTTGACTGAGAATCACATAGACAATGCAACAGAGTTCTGCTCCCAGTAATAGCAAAGGGTCGCCTGTAATTTCCTTCTGACTAGCTGTCCTACTCCCTTACTGTCTGTGGACTGAGAGCTCTGGAAGCCTGTGCTCGACTGTGCTCCATTCTCACCCCAGTGAGACACCTGTCCTGCAGACCTTCCAGTTTTTCTTGGGCTGGAAAATTGTTTCACCTCATCCTTTTTTTTTTATTCTCTTGCTCCAGAATTCATTTTGAGGAGTTATTTTAAAGTCTTTTGGGGAGGGGGCAGTTTAGGAGAGCTCAGGTGATCCCTGGCTTTACTCAACCATCTTTGCCCCTCATTTTAAAAGTCCATTTATTATTATTTATTATGCGCCATAGCATATATATTTTGTCCATAGCAACTAATCCAGAGAGCTTTCTCAGACCTGGAAGATTTGTGGTTTGTGTTAGGAAGGGATGAATGAAACACCAATCCTTGAGTTATTGAAGTATTATGTAAAAACCCTATACTAGCAACAGAGGGAGATAAATGGATGAGTAAGCCAACTCTGCCTTCAGGGAGTTTACAGTCTTTGTATGGGAGGAATTACCAAACTTTTAGACAAATAAATAAGTATAATGCAAGACAGGATGTGATCTAGAAGCTAGCTTTTTGGGGTACATGGATGTTTAGAATAAAGAATGTTCATTAATGTCTATTCTAAAGGAAAGTGAATGTAGCTGGTACATGGTGTTGTGATACTGCAATTTTTAATACAAAACAGTAATATTTTATTATAGTGTATTATTTATTATTATAGTATAATATATATTATTATAATATATCATTATATATTATAATAATATATTATTAGTGTTTATTATTATAATATAAGTAGAAATAGTGGTAGAAGAAATGTGAAGGAGCAACTTATTTTAGTATTGTTAATTAGTTTTTCCATTATTTTTCTATTATTTTATCTTGATTTCTGAGTGAGTTTCATAACTCTTCTTAGAATATTAATATTTTATTGGTCATTCACATTGTATAAGGCACATTGTAATAGAGTAGAATTCTGTAATAGAATTTGTGTTCACAATTCTTACTTTCTCCTCAAAATACATAACTTTATGTAACTGTTCTTATAACTTTTGCATGGTCCATTATTGTACCTGGGTTTATCCTAAATCAGGAAAAGAAAATGATAGATATTTTTGAATTTTCAAGAGCCAGATTTTTAAATACTGTATCTTTTATATACTAAATCTGAAATAATTATTGATCAGAAATGAATTGGCCCCTCTGTGGTTGTGTGTTAACTGCTTCTTTGAAGAAGTGATCTAGTACTCAACTAAAATAAAAGCTTAATTTTACTAACATAATCGATAAACATTCTACTTTAGACTTGTTTCTTTTAGTACTTCCATTTTTATGTAGCCTTGTTATAGTCGCTGTATTAGGGCTGTATTATTCTTTCTCTTTAACTCATTAGACTTGTTATAGAAATTTATTGATTTGTGCTATCAGAAACCCAGGTCAGAAAGCTCTGAGCTTTCTGTTCTGCTAGGTTTAATTTTTTTTAAGTGGATACTATTATATGGAGGCAATGTGGTATAGTGGAAGGAGCACTGTATATACAATCAGGAGGGACTTTGGTCCAGATCCCACCTCTAACACTTAACTAGCTGTGTGACTATGGCCATAAGCCACTTAACCTCACTGATCTTCAGTTTCCTTAAATGTAAAAAAGGGAATAATAATATCTTTAGCACCTACCTTATACAGTTGTGAGGCTCTACTGAGAGGATGTATCTGAGGCACTTTGCAAACTTTAAAAAGCTATTATGATTGCCTATTATGATTGTTATTCTACAGACTAAATTATTGGGCATAATTTTTCATTGAGAGGCAGCTTGGTGTGGAGGATAGAGATTTGGATTCAAGTTCTGCCTCTGACCCATAGTGGCTGTGTTACTCTCAGTGCTCTAGGGCAGGAAATTCTGTAACTCTTAAGTTGCAGAGAAGGTGTTTACTTGCTCTGGTAGAGGGGATTTCCTCACTTGGGAGTTCTTTGTACTAATGAAATTACAGTTCCAGTCCCTAGCTCTATTTTTCATTATTTCTTGACTAGATTTCTCCACTGGTTCTAGTCTTTAAAATATGCTTCTAAGTGATCAGCTATTTCAGTTTATTTAATTGCCTTACTCATGTCCGAGCTTGTCCTCTTTTGAACTCTCATTGCATATAATTATCATTAGGTAGTTATACTCTTAGAATAAAGTACTATTAATATATAACCTCACCTTTACATTTGGTAGACCATTTTATTTTTAAATAAAATTATATCATCTGAACTTTCCTTCCCTCCCAGTTATCTCCAAAAAGTAGTTATTTCTTTCCTCAGTAAGTTTTCCTTTCAGCTCTGGATCTCTGTAATTACTCACTTTTATCAAGTTATTGTGGTACAATGGAAAGAACACTGGATTTGGTTTTAGAGGACCTGGGTCAAATTCAGACTCATCCATTTACTGCTTTTGTGACCATGGGCAAGACACTTAGAATGGCTGGATCATAGTTCTAGAGTTTGAAAAGAACTTTAGAGACCATGTAGAACAACTCCCTCATCTTGCAAAAATGAGGTCATGTTGTTCAAATGTCAAACGTGTGCTTGCCTAAGACTCTTTTATGGAGACCTCACACAGGACAAGTGCTCACATGGTGATCAGAAGAAGCAATATAAGGACACTCTCAAGGTCTCTCTTAAGAACTTTGAAATTGGTTATGTGACATGGGAAACACTGGCACAGGACCGCCCAGCATGGTGTACCCTCATCAGAGAAGGGGCTGTGCTCTATGTGCAAAGCAGAATTGAAATAGCTCAAAAGAAATCCGATATGCACAAATTTAGAGAACCCATTCCAAATGTTCACATGGACTGTTTGTGCTTGACTTGTAGAGCATTCTGAGCTTGTATTGGTCAGATCAGCCTCAGTTGGACACATTGTAACTTGATTCTAACGTAGTGGTGTCATTTTGGTCCTCTTTGAGAGTGAAGGACAAGAACCAACCAAACTGAGATCAATGGAATTACTTGTTCAGGGTCACACAGATAGTGTCATAGATAGAATTTGAACTGGGCTTTAGCTTCCTCATCTGCAAAATGAAAGGTTTTGGACTAGTTAACCCAAGGTCTCTTCCAGCTAGAGGTTTATGATCCTATGAACCTAAAGTGTTTAGAGTTTATAAAACCCACAATATACTTTTTCTCATTTAATCCTCACTTGTTTTTATTTATTTTGTTAAATATTTCCCAATTACACCTAAAAATATTTTAAATACTCATTATAAAAAATTTTGAATTCCAATTCTCTCTCTCTGTCCTACTCTTCCCCCCTTTTTGATAAGGCAAACAGTTTGATAATTGATTATACATGTTAAGTCATGCAAAACATAGTTCCATATTAGCCATCTTGTGAAAGAAAACATAAGCAAAATAAAACAATAAAAATAAAGAAAGTGGAAAAAAGTATGCTCCACTCTGCATTCAGAGTTCATCAGTTCTCTCTCTGGAGGTGGATAGCATGTTTAATCATAGGTCCTTTGGAATTATTTTGGATCATTGTCTTTATCAGAGAAGCTAAGTCTTTCACAGTTGATTGTTCTTACAGTATCATTTAATCCTTACAATGATCCTATTATCCCATTTTGTGTATAACTGAGGATCAAAAACTAAAAAAAAGATTTTTTTTGTTCTTTTAAAGAGCTCAAGGTTCAAGAAACCATATGTAGACTTTAATACTCCTGAAACAAGATAGTGAAAAGGTCTCTCATCAGTTTAATAGGGCAGAATAGTAAAAATTGATTTTTTTTTTAATAGAAGACTTGTTTGATATGCTTGGTTAAAACAATAAGCAGATGCAGCTTCTGGTATAGACTTGAGAAAACAAATTATCACCACCACCCCAAAACAGTTATAGTTCATATCCAGTCATCTGATAATTTTTGAAATGATTCATTATTTAAAGGAACATTTATTTACTAATACTTCCTTTAAATATTGGCTTGCTTTGGTACTTTGGACCCCTGATTTAATTGGTGTGAGTACTCCCTTCGTGGTATGTATCGTCAACCCATCTATTCCTTTTCATCCTGTTCAGTTCTTATCCGTGTCCCTTTTTTCTAAATAGATGTTGAAAATTGGTACATAATTTAAAGAAAATCCAAGTGGTAATCTATTTTTAAAAATTCTGCTGATGTTCAATTTTATTTACTTAGCCTCATCATTAGGGAAGCTTTTCAGGGAATTTATCTACTAATCTTTAAAGGATGATAGGTTTAGAAACATCAGAAGCTGTCTTGTCTAATCCCCTGATTTTACAGATAAGGAAACTGAACTCCATGGCTGTAACACTTAACTAGCTGTGTAACCCTGGGCAAGTAACTTCATCTCTTTGAGCTTCGGTTTTCTCATATCTAAAATAGAGTTGAACTATGAGATTTCTAAGGCCCTTTCCAATTTAAAATTTTTTATTATTTTAGTTAAGTCCTTACCTTTTATCTCCTTTTTATTTTTTTCTCTAGGCAATGGGGTTAAGTGACTTGCCCAGGGTAACACAGCTGGTAGGGTCAAGTGTTTGGTCTGAGGCCAGATTTGAACTCTGATCCTCCTGACTCCATGGCCAATGCTAAATCCACTGCGCCACCTTGATGCCCTTAAGTTCTTACCTTTTAACAGAAGATATACAAATATATTTTCTTTGCTTGGATTATATGAAAAATGGTAGTACTTCCCTTCATTTCATTTGATTTTCAGGTGTATCACTGGTATTTTATAGAAACTGCTAAATAGATTTTTTTAAAAAGAAAACAAATATTTTCATTTTTTTCTTTAACTTTCAGTTTCTTCATGGAGAAATCACTTATGATGGAGAATGGTTGCAGAGCAATGCCTGAATGTAATGGTAGTTCTCATTTGGATGAGTAGATAGTTAAATAAAAAGCATATGGTCTTACTTCTAAATAAATAATCTTTGAGAGTTTGTTTACAAATTACTCATTAAGTCAAAATCATTAATTTAGTTCTAAATCACAAATTACAGGTTTTAGTTCCTCTTTTATTCTTTTGATAGTGTAATATTCTCATTCCTCAGAAATGGCTATAATTTGTTAATATCATCAATGGAAATAGATAACAAGATTTGCAACTATTAGATCCTGTTCCATTTCAAAGATATTTCTGCCTAGCATAGAGCTGTTTCCCACTCCTTTTAGTTGGCCCAATGGAAAAAAAGCACTTATTTCAATGGCTCTTTGACCTTGTCAGTGCAGATATTCTATTCACTGGTTAAAAATCATCCATTGCCTTCTCATCTTATATGACTCTAGTCCAGGTCTTTTTCTTAAATTTCCTATAGAAGATCCATCTCATTTTGGGGAGGCCTTCCTCTGGACCATTAACCTAGTGCTTGGGCTATAATGCCAATATGTATGTTATTTAGGCCCTCCAGTGGTGTCAACTTGTTGGTCACTAGACAAAGAATGTATGTTAAAACAATTAAATCTTTGTAGATGGCTCCCACACTGTGTAACTCTTGGCACTGTCTTTCCCCTTCTCTGCTACTTTTGATGTCACAGCAGAAGGGAATCGTTATGTTTTACATTTTTATCAATTGCGTGGGTCATCAAAGCCAAAATATTAATTCATCCACTTTAAAATTACAAAACCAGGTAATTGTGGTTCTGGTGATGAGACTCTCAGAACTTAGCTAGGCTTATCCTTAGCAGACGCAATCCATTGCTGGTACTATACTCAAAACTTTTCCTATTTGGTGTAGAGCGTACTGGAGCTTGTATTCTGCTGACAGTCTTTGACAACCCAGGTTTACCTCCATATCACAAAGGGACATTGGAGTAGGTTTTTCAGTCTTGAAGATTCCTGCCAGAAATAAATAACTGATGAGTTAATGACAGTTACAGTTTTAACCTCTGAATCTGGGAAAAACAAACTGTCATGTAACCTAAAAATGATCAGAGCACCTGGGTTCAAAAACCACTTTGTGACCTTAAGCAAGTTATTTCATCTCCTGGGGCTTCAAATTCCTTAGCTGTAAAAATGAGAAAATTGGACTAGATGATCTCTAAAGCCCCTTCCAACTCTACATCTATGATTTTATGAGGATGATCTGATATATTTATCTAGGTATTCTAACTTGGAAGATAGTTGGGTGTTCTCATGGCTCATATTCATGGAAAATGATTTTAATCTCACTGGTCATTTGTTAATGAAAATATTTTTCCATAAAGTAATATCAAAAACTTTGTTGTTCTTATCAAAAGATAAGTAGATTTACTCCTTAGTGACCAGAATCCTGAAAGAGTTATTATTGTCTTCTGTTTGTTTTGTGTAGGCTTTGATTCTGACAATTCTTCTGGGGAGTTTTCAGAGGCAAATCAGAAAGTCACAGGAATGATTGACTTGGACACTAGCAAAAGTAATAGGACTGAAAAAAATGGAGAGAGGCCTCCACAAGAGAATGGAATCAAGAAACACAGGTAATAGCATACTTCTTGCCATATTTTTTTTTTGCTATATTTTAGAACAGTGGTATCAAACTCAGACAGAAATGGATCCTTGCAGTCTTCATATTGACTCATCTATGTTGCCATGTTTGTTTATATTAACACCCCCACCCCCATCACTGCCTTGTCCTGGTGGAGGGACTTGCACAACTCAATGAAACTATGAGCAATGCTGTTCCATGGGGTTACCCAAGATGGATAAAATGTGGCAAGTCCTCAAAGAGATGGGAGTACTAGATCATCTTACTTGTTTCCTGAAGAACCTGTATGGAGGTTAAGAAGCAACAGAATTGAACATGGAACAACTGATTGGTTTAAGATTGGGAAGGGAGTACAACAACAATGTGTATTGTCACCTTATTTGTTTAACTTGCATGCAGAGTACGTCATGTGAAGTGCCAGGCTGGATGAATCAGAAGCCAGAATTAAGGTTGCTGGGAGAAATATCAACAGTCTCAGATATGCAGACAATACCATTCTGATGGCAGAAAGTGAAGAGGAATTAAGAACCCTCTTGATGAGGGTGAAAGAGGAGAGTGTAAAAGCTGGCTTGAAGCTTAACATCAAAAAAAATTAAGATCTTGGCAACTGGTCTCATGACTTCCTGTCAAATAGAGGGAGAAGAAATGGAAGCAATGTCAGCTTTTATATTCTTGGGCTCAGTGATCACTGCAAATAGCAACTGCAGCCATGGAATTAAAAGATACTTGCTCCTTGGAAGGAAAGTTGTGGTAAATCTTGACTACTCCTTAAAAAGCAAAGATATCACTTTGCTGACAAAGGTCCATATAGTCAAAGCTGTTTTTTCCAGCCGCAGTGTATGTGTGACTGTTAAGAGTTAGAGTATAAGGAAAGCTGAACCCTGCAGAATCCATGCTTTCAAATTGTGGTGCTGGAGAAGACTTTTGAGAATCCCTTAGACAACAAGGAGATCAAATCAGTCAATATTTAAAGAAATTCAGGCTATTCACTGGAAGGTTAAATAATAAAGCTGGAGCTTAAATGCTTTGGCCACATAATGAAGTGACCGTGCTCATTTGAAAAGATCCTGATGCTGAGAAAGATTGAAGGCAAAAGGAAAAGGGGACAGTAGAGGATGAAAGGGATAATAGATATGGAAACAATGAACATGAACTTGGAAAGACTTTGAGAGGTAGTGGAGAATAGAAGGGCCTGGCACAAAGAATCATACACGACTGAACAACTGACTAACAGCAACGATTCTATTGTTGAAACATTTCTCAGTTACATTTTAATATAGTTCCCATGTACTCAGGAGTTCTGTGGACTACAAGTTTGACATCTTTTTAGGACATTCCAAAAGTGTAGTTGGGTACATTCCTAAAACACTAAATAGTGTACATTCAAACCTCATAAAACTTTTGTCTCTCTGTTTATTGCCATCCAACTAGTCAGAAATTTGAAACCAGATCTGCTTTGACCTAATTCCAGTGGGTCACAGAATCATAAGATTAATAACAATAATAATAATAATAATAAATAATAATAATGACATCTAACATGCATACGTAGTGCTTTAAGGTTTGCAAAGCACTTTACAAATATTATTTAATTTGATCATTACAACAACCTTGGGAGGTAGAAGATATTATTATCCCTATTCTACAGATGAAGAAACTGAGGCAGAGGTTTTATTACTTGCTCAGGGTCAAAGATAAAATAAAAAACTAGTCCCTCGAAATCAGTTTCTGATTTTACCACTCTATTGCCACTATTACTTCAAAGGAAATTATCACTTCTTTTTGTGGACTGTCTTTCTTCCCTTAACTTCATGATACTCTATCCACTTAGTTTTTTCTGTTGTTCTGACAGCTTCTTCTTAGTCTTTTTCTGGTTTATCCTCTAACTCCTCTTCTTCATCTTCTTTTAATCTTTTGATCATTTATCAATTGGGGAATGACTCTTGTTTTTATAAATTTGATTCAGTTCTCTATATGTTTGAGAAATGAAGCCTTTATCAGAGAAACTTGCTTCAAAATTTGTTTTACAGTTATTATTGCCAACTGTATTTCCCTCCATCCTATTACCTGCCCCCCTGTTTATTCTGTTCTCTCTTTCCTTTCAACCTGTCCCTCCTCAAGTGTTTTGCTTCTGACTAATCCCTCCCCCAATCTACCTCCCTTCTATGACCCCCTGCCCTTTTTCTTATCCCCTTTCCCTCCTACTTTACTGTAGGGTAAGTAAGATAGATTTCTTTACCTAATTGAGTGTTTATGTTATTCCCTCTTTGAGCCAGTTTTGATGACAGTATTCTCCCTCACCTCCCCCCTCTTCAGCTCCACTGCAAAAGCTTTTTCTTGCCTCTTTTATGTGAGATGATTTACTCCGTTCTCTCTCTCCCTTTCTCTTTCTCCCAGTACATTCCTTTCTTACCTATTAATTTTATTTTTTAGATATCATTCCTTCATATTCAATTCACACCTGTGCCCTTTGTCTATATATACTTCTAACTACCCTAATAATGAAAAAGTTACAAATGAGTTACAAATATCATCTTTCCCTGTAGGAATATAAACAATTTAAATTTATTAAGTCCCTTATGCAGGCCTGCACAACTGGCCTGCCAAAGTGGCCCATGGGCCGTATGTTGTACAGTACTGCCCAAGGGTATTTGGCCTCTGAATCATTTCTTCATAAAGGGCCAATGCTATTAGCTCTGTCTGAAGAACAGTTTTGGGGCCTGAGATGACCTGAGCCGTAGTTACATAGTCTACGTTTTTTGTGGGCTATCTGAAATCTTTGTGCAGCCTTGGCCTATGAGCTGATATAGTGCAGGCTGCTCTTGTGATTTCCCTTTCCTGTATACCTTTTTATGCTTGTCTTGAATCTTTAATTTGAAAGTCAAATTTTCTATTCAGCTCTGGTCTTTTCAACAGGAATGCTTGAAAGTCCTCTTTCTTATTGAATATCCATTTTTTTCCCTGAAGGATTATACTCGATTTTGCTGGGTAGGTGATTCTTGGTTGTAGTCCTAGCTCCTTTGCCCTCTAGAATATCATATTCCAAGCTCTCTGATCCTTTAATGTAGAAGCTGCTAAATCTTGTGTTATCCTGACTATGTCTCCATGATACTTGATTTGTTTATTTCTGGCTGCTCGCAATATTTTTTCCTTGACCTGGGAGTTCTGGAATTTGGCTGTAATATTCCTGGCAGTTTTCATTTTGAGATTTCTGTCAGGAGGTGATCAATGGATTCTTTCAATTTCTCTTTTACTCTCTAGAATATCAGGCCTATTTTCCATGATAATTTCCTGAAAGATGATGTCTAGACTCTTTTTTTGATCGTAGTTTTCAGGTAGTCCAATAGTTTGTAAATTATCTCTCCTGGATCCATTATCTGGGTCAGTTATTTTTCCAATGACATATTTCACATTGTCTTCCATTTTTTCATTCTTTTGGTTTTGTTTTGTAATTTCTTAATGGTAATTTTTTTAATTTATTTTTTTGTTTTCAACATTTACTTCCACAAGATTTTGAGTTCCAAATTTTCACCCCATCTCGCCCCTCCCCCCACCCAAGATGGCATGCATTCTAAATACCCCTTCCCCTAGTCTGCCTTCCCTTCTATCTCTTCCTCCCTTCTCTTATCCCCTTCCCTTTAATTTTCCTGTAGGGCAGGATGGATTTCTATACCCCATTTCCTGTATTTCTTATTTCCCAGTTGCGTGTGAAAACATTTTTTTTAAACATATGTTTTTAAAACTTTGGGTTCCAAATTTTCTCCCTTCCTCCTTCCCCACCCACCCTCATTGATAAGGCAAGCAACTAAATGTAGGTTATATATGTGCAGTTATGCAAAACACTTCCATAGTAGACATGCTGTGAGAAACTAACTCTATTTCCCTTAATCCTATCTGGCCTACCCATTTATTCTATTCTTTTTTTTGACCCTGTCCCTCCTCAGAAGTATTTGCTTCTGATTACTCCCTTTTCCAATCTGCCCTCCTCTTTATCATTCCCCTACTCTCTTGTCCCCTTTCCTCCCTATTTTCCTGTAGGGTAAGACAGATTTCCACACCCAATTGAGTGTGTATATCATTCCCTCTTTAAGTCAAATCCTATGAGAATAAGATTCACTCATTCCCTCTCACCTTCCCCTGTTTCCCCTCCACTGTAAGAGCCTTTTCTTTTCTGATTTTTTTTTTTGGTGGGATAATTTATCCCATTCTACCTCTCCCTTTCTCCTCCTAGTATATTCCTCTCTCACCCCTTAATTTTATTCTCCAGATATGACCTCTTCATTTTCAACTCACCCTGGGCCCTCTATCTATCTATCTATCTATATCAATATATACGTACATATAATTTTTTCCCCTCCAACTACCCTAATACTGACAAAGGTCTCATGAGTTACAAATCTCATCTTTCCATGTAGGAATGTAAACAGTTCAACCTTAATAAGTCTCTTATGATTTTCCCTTTCCTGTTTACCTCTTCATGTTCCACTCAAGTCTTGTATTTGAAAATCAAATACTGAAGAAAATAACACCTTAAAAAATAGCCTAACCCAAATGGCAAAAGAGGTCCAAAAAGCCAATGAGGACAAGAATGCCCTAAAAAGCAAAATTGGCCAAATGGAAAAGGAAGTACAAAAGATTACTGAAGAAAATACTGCCTTAAAAATTAGAATAGAGCAATTGGAAGCTAGTGACTTTATGAGAAATCAAGACACTGTAAAACAAATTCAAAAGAATTAAAAATTAGAAAACAATGTGAAATATCTCACTGGAAAAACAACTGACCTGGAAAATAGATCCAGGAGAGAGAACTTAAAAATTATTGGACTATCTGAAAGCCATGATCAAAAAAAGAGCCTAGACATCATCTTTCAAGAAATTATCAAGGAAAACTGCCCTGATATTTTAGAACCAGAGGGCAAAATAGAAATTGAAAGAATCCACTGATGTCTTCCTGAAAGAGATCCCCAAAGGAAAACTCCTAGGAATATTGTAGCCAAATTCCAGATTTCCCAGGTCAAGGAGAAAATATTACAAGCAGCCAGAAAGAAACAATTCAAGTATTGTGGAAACACAATCAGGATAACACAAGATTTAGCTGCTTCTCCATTAAGGGCCAGCAGGGCATGGAGTATAATATTCTGGAGGGTAAAGGAGATAGGATTGCAACCAAGAATCACCTACCCAGCAAAACTGAGTATAATCCTTCAGGGGAAAAAATGGTCATTCAGTGAAATAGAGGACTTTGAAGCATTCTTGATGAAAAGGCCAGAGTTGAATAGAAAATTTGATTTTCAAATGTTTTATAATTTCTTGATATCTCATAAAGTCATTAGCTTCCATTTACTCAGTTCTGATTTTTAAGGAATTATTTTCTTCAGTGGGCTTTTGTACCTCCTTTTCCACTTAGCCAGTTCTACTTTTTAAGGAGTTTTTTCTTCAGTGAATTTTTGTGCCTCTTTTTCCATTTAGCCAATTCTGCTTTTCAAGGCATTTTTCTCCTCATTTTTTTTGTACCTTTTTTACCATTCGGCCTAGTCAGTTTTTTAAGGTGTTATTGTCTTCAGTATTTTTTTGGGTCTCCTTTACCATACTGTAGACTCTTTTTTTTCATGATTTTCTTGCATCACTCTCATTTCTTTTCCCAATTTTTCCTCTTCCTCTCCTTACTTGATTTTCCAAATCACTTTTGAACTCTTCTATGTCTTGGGACCAATTCATATTTTTTGTGGGATTTGGATGTATGAGCTTTGACTTTGACTTTGTTATCTTCTTCTGAGTATGTGTTTTGATCTCCCTTGTCACCATAGTAACCTTCTATGGTCAGAATTTTTTTTTCTTTTTCTGTTGTTTGTTCATTTTCCCATTCTATTTCTTAATTTTTTTACTCTTTGTTAAAGCGGAGCTCTGCGTTCATGATAGAGGGTGCAGTATTTCACCTTTCAGGATTTTTGTGCAACTATTTTCAGAGATACGTCTAGGATCCTGTAAGTTTTCAGTTCTTCCAAAGTGGTATGGTCTAGGAGAGATGTTTACTCCTCTCCTGGCATGTGCTCTGATCTCTTAGCAACCACTGGCACTCTTTTCTGCCCTGGAACTGTGACGGGGTCCCCACTGCATTGTGGCCTGCAAGCTCTGATGTGTTACTGCTCCTCTTTGCCCTGAGACTGCCCCCCACCATTGTGACCTAGATATAAGTATAAGCAAAGCAACAGAATCCTTCCTCCAGTACCAGCAAAGAGATTCCTGTAGTCTCCTTTTGATGAGTTGTTTGACCCCATTACCATCTGTGCTATGGGCTGAGAAATCTGGAAGCAGCTGCTGCCTCTGCAGATTCAGTAGCTCCCAAGGCCTGCTCCTGGTTTGCTGGAGCCAGGTCTATGCTGGTGCAGCCTGCATCGTACTGTGCTTCACCCTCACAATGGTGCAACAGATGTTTCCTCCCAACCTTCTAAATTGTCTTTGGGTGGAAAATTATTTCACCCTGTCTTTTCCTTTTTTTTTTTTTTTTGCTTTATGGTGAGGCAATCAACGTTAAGTGACTTGCCCAGGGTCCCAACACCTAGTAAGTGCACCCTGTCCTTTTGTGCGTTCTGCTGCTCTAGGGGTTATTTTATGGCATTGTTTAAAGGTGTTCCGAAGGGTTTAGGGGGAGCTCAGGCAAATCGCTGTTTTTTCTCCACCATCTTGGCTCTGCCTCTTTATGAAGGTCTTTGAATGCCAAATAGAACATTTTGTATTTGATCCTGAACATAAGAAGGAGCCACTGGAGTTTATTTAACAGAGGTGAGGTGGAATGACATGATTGGACCTAGGCTTTAAGAAAATCACTTTTGTGGTTGAATGTCCACAGATTGGAATGGGGAGAAACTTGAAATATGCAGATCCACCAGCAGGCTATTGCAGTAGTTCAAGCATGACGTGATAAGTGTTTGCACTAGAGTGGTGGCAGTGTCAGAGGAGAAAATGGAGCCTATTCGAGAGATGTTACAAAGGTCAAATTGACATGCTTGGCGACAGCTTTGGATATAGGGAGTGAGAGTGAGGAATCCAGGATGACTCCTAGGTTGTGAGCCTCAAAGATTGGGAGGATGGCGGCACCCTTTATAGTATAAGGGAAGATAGGGGTTGGGGAGGCCTAGTTCAGAAACCTGTAGTATCTGGAGGAGCATCCAGCTTGAAATACTCTACCTACTTCTACCTGTTAAAATCCTAGGTTTCCCCCTTAATACCAGCATAACCTTAGGCAAGTTACTTAACCTCTCTGGCCCTCAGTTTCCTCATTTGTAAAATGAGGAAAAAATTGTCTTTTTTCTCTTTAAAGCTTGGTGCAAGTGCTACCTCCTAGAAGCCTTTCTTGAGGCTTTCCTTGATGGCCTTTACTAAACTGACAGTTTTACTCCCAAATTTTTTCTAGAATGCTTTGTCTAGATCTCTCCTTTATCCTCTTCTATTTTACCTTGGATTATACTTATTTGTGTATGTGTCATATTTTCCTTAGTAGTTACCAACCCCTTAATGTCAGGGACTAGGTTCCTTTTTCTCTTTTTGGCTTTAATACCACTTTTTGTACAGTGCCTTCAACGTGCTAGGTACTTAATTACTGTTTTTGAATTAAATTCAACCACAGTTCTTGTACTATGTTGTGTACTGCCAAGTCATATATTGTTTCTCAGAGTAGATTCTTTAGGTTCATTTTAAATACAGAATTTAAATGAATTGAATGCCAAAACTGCTTTTAGCCTAAAGACATCTGAGAAAGGCAAGTCCAGCAGTATGGGTTAGAGGTGATTCCAAAAACCTAATCACATCAACAAGTGCCTCTTTGTTTCTCTATTTAGTGTATGTATTTGTGATCTTCCTTTGTTCCACTAATAATGTCATTCCTGGATTATTCAAATTGTTGCATTACTCTACAGTAATAATAAATATTTTATAATATAAAACTAATATAACATAGAAATCTTATCCCTTTGAGCAGTTAATTAGAAATTGAACCTCTCAAAATTGAATGAAGAGAATTACAGAAATTATATATGAAAATCTAAAGAAAAATTGTCATGTCATAGAAAATAGCCATCAGTAAATCTATTTTATTAGCAAATGCTTATTATTAATATTGCTGCAATCTTGTTTTCTTTGAAGGACATCTTTACCTGCCCCAATGTTTACTAGAAGTGATTTCAGCGTGTGGAGTATATTAAAAAAATGCATTGGCTTGGTAAGTTGAATTGCCTTATTTTGAAACATGAAGGTTAAAAACCTTTTTATTTTCAACTCTTATGAATTTAACACAGTCTTATAGTAACTTGAAAGAAAAAAAAGTATATATACACACATATACATCCATCTGTCTTATCACTCTATCCATCTGTCTATCTATCTATCTTTCTAGTGTCCCAAAAGCCTTAGTGCAGTTTTTAAGCTTTAAAACTTCAAACTATACTAAGACTTTTGGGACAGCCTGTGTGTTTATACACACATTTGCATATATGCAGACATATAATACACATATACTTACACACATATGTACACACATACTATAAAATATATTGTATATATATGTCTATATAATATAAACATGTGTATACATATATATGCAAATGAGGTTAAGAAGAGATTATAAAAAGGTAAAGGTTAGTTCTGAATGGGGTGGGGGTGGGGGAACAGATGGCAAGACAAGAGTAATAACTGAGAATGAGCAGTAAAAACTTTTTAGAAAGTAGTACTTACACTGAGTCTTGAAGGGAGCTTGAGATTCCCAGAGGGAGAACATCCTAGCTATAGGCAACAGTTGCCTCGGAAAAGACTCAGCGATATAGTTGGCTAGAACAAAAAGTGTATGACAGCAAGTTATGTGAAATCAGTCTGGAAGGATAGATTGGAAACATATTGTGAAAGGCTTTACATGCCTATGTGTCCAGCCAGCCTTTTGCCAAATTTGTCATTTCTACCTTGACAACATCTTTCCACTCAACAAATTGACTCTTATCACCTTTCTCCTGAACTATTGCTTTACGCTTCTACTTGGTCTCCTGCCTTAAGTCTTTCAGAATTCCAATCCAGCCTCTATTTAGCTACCAAAGTGATTTTCCTAAAGCATAGGTCTTCCCATGTCACTCCCCTATTCAGTAAACTCCAGTAAATTTATTATTTTGTTAATCTAGGAATTGTCAAAAATCACAATGCCTATTGCCTTCAATGAGCCATTGAGTTTCCTCCAGCGAATAACTGAATACATGGAACATATATACCTCATTCATAAAGCTTCTTCTCAAGCAGAACCCTTGGAAAGAATGAAGGTAGGCAACTTCAATCTGTTTCGCCATTAACCCTTTTAATTGTTAAAATACTGGGCTTTGTTATGTGTAAAAATTTTAATTTTTAAAGAAGCCAATGTAGTTATTACAATTCTTAGGTCAGGGCAAGAATCCAAGAATTTCCCTGTTGGGATATTATAAATAAAGGAAAGAGTAGCTTACTAACTCTTGGGATTTAGATGCAGTCCTATCAAGATTCAGGAGAATGGGGATTAGATCAAATAATGTAATGTATTTGAAAGCGCTTTGTAAATTGTAGAGTATTATACAAATGTAAAGCATTTATTATTATTATTTTAGTATTTTGAAATCTGAGATTTCATGTGGGTACTCTATAGATACAGACTGCAATCTTTCTCTGTTTTAACATTTGACTATGTCTATTTCCAAATTTCCCTCAGGACCATGACTTGTATTGAAATGTATTTCTTTCCTTTTTTTTTTTTTCCCCCCTTTTGGTGAGGCAGTCAGGGTTAAGTGACTTGCCCAGGGTTACATAGCTGGTAAGTGTCAAGTATCTGAGGCCAGATTTGAGCTCAGGTCCGCCTGACTCCAAGGCCAGAGCTCTATCCACTGCACCACCCTGCTGCCCCAAAAAGTATTTCTGATATAATAATATTTCTCAGGAGCATAGTCACCTTTATGAAGAGATATCAAATAATAGCTCTTAACTTGATATTTTTTTGGAGGAAGAAGTAGTTGCATGATGAGGTGGAATTTCTCTTGGAAGTGTTGTAAATTTAAAAAATTTTATTTTTTTCAATCAGCAAAAATCCACCTTTACTTCCCCACCCTGCCTTCCCTTCTCCAATTTGAGAACAAAAGAAAAACAAAACCAATGTTGTAAACATGAATAATCAGGGACAACAAATTTCCACACTAGTCTTGTCTAAAAAAAAAATCTCATTATGTGTTCTTAATCCTTCACTTCTCTCTCGGAAGGTGAGTAGTATGTTTCATCTTTAGTCCTTTAGAATTGTGTTTAGTCAGTATGCTGATCAAAGATCTTAATTCTTTCAAAGTTGTTTATTTTTGCCATTAATTATTGTCATTGTATTAATTATTCTCTTATTCTGTTCACTTCATTCTGCATCAGTTCATATAAGTCCTGCCAGGTTTCTCAGAAACCACTGCTTTCTCATTTACTGCACAATAGTATTCTATCACATTTACATACTATGATTTGTTCATCCATTCCCCAGTTTATGAGCATCCTCTCAGATTTCCATTCTTTGCCACCTCACAAAGGGCTGTAAATATTTTTGTATATCCTTAGTTTGTTTTGCTTAGGACTAATTTCTCCCTAAATCTACCCTCCCTCAACTTTCCCTTCCCCCTGCCTGTTTCCCTCCTTTTAACCTGTTGAATAAAATATATTTCTCTACCAACTGTGTGTGTATATATCCTTCCCTCCTTTGACTAGTTCAGATGGTAGTAAGGTTCGAGTGTCAGGTGCTCCCCCATCCCTTCTTCCTTGTTTATATAGGTATTTACCTATATACCTTGATTATGCATGATAATTTTTGCTAACATTCCTGAGGATACTCCCAGTATATTCTGCTTCTTCCTCCTCTTCATTCTCTAAAGATCATCAAGACATAACAAAATCACTCCAAAATCTTATCTAATTAGACTGCCTCTGTGACCGTTGATGGTTATAGGGTTCAGAGGGGATGCCTGTATCAGCTCCCAAATTTGAATGTAAGCAATTTATCCTTGTTTAGTATCTATTCATCTGTTGTTCATTTATTTTTACTTTTTTGTATTTCTCTTAACTCCTGTGTTTGTACTTCAAAGTTTCTTTGCCATTCTGGTCTTTCATCAGGAATGCTTGGAAGTCTTCTCTTTCATTTATGGTCTATTTTTTCCTTCTGCAGCATTATACTCAGTTTTCTGGGTAAGTTATTCTTGGCTGTAAACTTGTATCCTTTGCTTTCTGGAATACCATCTTCCAAGTTCTCCTCTTGTATGTAGTTGTTGTTCAGTCATTCAGTCATGTCCAACTCTTCATGACCCTGTGTACCATAGTACAATAATACTGTCCATGGGGTTTTCTTGGCAAAGGCACTAAAGTGGTTTGCCATTTCCTTTTATAGTGGTGGCTTGTAAAGCATGTATGATCCTGACTGTGATTCCTTGATATTTGAATTCTTTCTTTCTTGCTTCTTGTAGTTTTCTTTGACCAGGAAATTTCTGGATTCTGGTCATGATGTTCCTGGGAATTTTTATTTGGAGGTTTCTTTTAGGAGATGACTGATGGATTCTTTCTTTTTCTACTTTGCCTTTTGGTTCTAAGAGATCTGGGCAGTTTTCTTTTACAATTTCTTGAAAAATTACATCTAGGATCTTGTTTTTTTTCTTTCTGATCATTCAGATGGTCAAGTGATTCTTATTTTTTTTTCCTCCTTAATCTCTTTTGCCAGTTGTTTTGTATTTACTATGAAATACCTCACATTTTCTTCTATGGTTTTTTTAGTCTTTGGAATTCATTTTAATATTTCTTGCTGTCTCATGACGACAGTGGCTTTAATTTGGTCCATTCTAATTTTCGGGGAGTTTGTTTCTTCGGCAAGGTTTTATAACTCTTTCTCCAAGCTGTTGATTCCCTTTCCAGTTCTTTCTTCCATAGTTCTAATTTCTTTTATGATTTTATTCCCTCAAGCACTCTAATTATAAAAACATTTTTAAGTCTTTAAAAAAAAAACACTACTGGGAGTAAGACAGGAACTCGCCAGAACTCTTCCAAATTCACCTCTACACAACTATAACATAATGCCTCAAAAAAAATTCTGGAGTGGCAGAATCAACAAAAGGATGAGGTGAAACAATTTTCCAGCCCAAGACAACTTAGAAGGTTAGCAGGAAAGTCTATCTCAGGTAAAAGGGGAGCATTTGGGCAAGCCAGCAGCAGGCTGTGCCCTAGCAAGTAAGCAGAGAGTCTTCATGCCCCCAGGACAGCAAGCAAGTAGAGGCCTGAACGCCAGTGCATTAGGCCAGTGGCAAGGCCCTCTTGATCCTGGCACAAGAAGCTTGGGACAATACCCCCTCTACTCCAGGAACAAAGTCCAACTTTAATATAAAATTAAAGTCACAAAATAGGCTAGAAAAATGAGCAAAAAAAAAAAAAAAAGAACTTGAACATAGAAACATAGTATGGTGACAGGAAAGATCAAAACACAAACTCAGAAGAGGCCAACAGTGTCAAAATGTATACTTGCAAAGCCTCGAAGAAAAATATGACTTGGTCTCAGGCCCCAAAAGAACTCCCAGAGGAGCTCAAAAAGGACTTTAGAAATTAAATAAGAGAGTTAGAGGAAAAAATGGGAAAAGAAATGAAAGTGATGCAAGAGAATCATGAAAGAAGAGTCAGCAGTTGGTAAAGGAAGCACAAAAAAGTGGAAAAAGATGTACCAAAATTAACTGATGAAAACAATTCCTTAAAAAGTACAAGAAACACATGAAGCAGAGAGACACGCACAGAATAAAGTTAAGGGGCTAGAGCAGAGTCTGTTATGCTTTAGCTGAAGTAAAAAAAGCAGGGGTAGCAATAATGGTCTCAGAAAAAGCAAAAGCAAAAATAGATCCAATTAAAAGAGTTGCTAAAAGGTACCATAGACAATGAAGTAATATCAATACTGAACATATGCACCAAATGGCATAGCATCCAAATTTTTAAAGAAGTTAAATGAGCTACAAGAGGAAATAGACAGTAAAATTATACTAGTGGGGAACCTCAACTTTCCCCTCAGAACTCGATAAATCTAACTAAAAAATAAACAAGAAAGAAGTTAAAGAAGTGAATAGAATTTTAGAAAAGTTAGATATAATAGACCTTTGGAGAGAATTGAATGGGAATAGAAAGGAATATACCTTTTTGTTAGCAGTACATGTTCTTACACAAAAAACTGACCATGTATGAAAACCTCACAATCAAATGCCGAAAAGCAGAAATATTAAAAGAATCCTTTTCAGATCACAGTGCAATAATAATTACATTTAGTAAAGGGCTATAGAAAGATACATTAAAAATTAATTGGAAACTAAATAATCTAATCCAAAAGAATGAGTGAATCAAAAAACAAATCATAGGAATAGTAATTTTATTAAAGAGAATGATAACAATGACAAAAATATAGCAAAATTTATGGGATGCAACCAAGCCGTACTTAGGGAAAAATTTACATCTCTAAATGCTTTACAGCAATAAAATAGAAAAAGAGCAGATCAATGAATTGGGCATACAACTAAAAAAAAGAAACTAGAAAAAGAACAAATGAAAAAGCCCTAATTAAACACCAAACTGGAGATCCTGAAAATTAAAGGAGAGATTAACAAAGTTGAAAGTAAAAAAAAAGCATGTCAGACATTAAACTAATAAGTAAAACTAGCTGCTGGTTTTATGGGGGAACAATAAACAGTTGGTTAATTTTATTTTAAAGAAAGAAAACCAAATTACCAGTATCAAAAATGAAAAGGTGAATTCACCACCAATGAAGAGGAAATTAAATCAAAAAGGATCTATTTTGCCCAATTATATGCCAATAAATCTGATCATCTAAGTGAAATGGATGAATATTTACAAAAATATAAATTGACTAGGTTAACAAAAATGGAAATAAATAACTCCAACTTAGAAAAAGAAATTGAACAAACCATCTATGAACTCCCTAAGAAATAAAATCCCCTAGGGCCAGATTGATTCACAAGTGAACTCTACGAAACATTTCAAGAACAATTAATTCTAATACTATGTAAACTACTTAGAAAAATAGGCAAAGAAGGTGTCTTACCATATTCTTTTTATGACACAAATATGGTGTTGATACCTAAAACTGAAAGAGCAAAAACAGAGAAAGAAAACTATAAACTGATTTCCCTAATGAATATTGATGTAAAAATTTTAAATAAAATACTATCAAGGAGATTATAGCAATATATCATAAGGATTATACATAATGTCTAGGTGAAATTTATACCAGGAATGCAGGACTGGTTCAATATTAGGAAAAGTATCAGCATAATTGACCATATTAATAACAAAACCGACAGAAATCATATCTCACTAGATTCAGAAAAAGCTTGTGACAAAATATAATACTCATTCCTATTAAAAACACTAGAGAGAACAGGAATAAATGGAGCCTTCTTTAAAATAAGTATTATCTATCTAAAACCATCAGCATGCATTTTCTGTAATGGGGATAAACTAGAATTCTTCCCAGTAAGATTGGGGTGAAACAGGGATGCTCATTATCACCACTATTGTTCAGTATTTTACTAGAAATGTTAGCTGTAACAATAAGAGAAGAAAAAAGAATTGAACTAGGCAATGAGGAAACAATTATCACTCTTTGCAGATGACATGATGGTATATTTAGAGAATCCATTTAAAAATTAGTTGAAAACAATCAATACTTTAGCAAAGTTGCAAGATATAAAATAAACCCACATAAATCACCAGCATTTCTATATATTGCAAGAGAGAGAAAGAGAAATTCTTTTTAAAATAACTGTAGACAACATAAAATACTTGAGAGTCTGCCTGCCAAGACAAACCCAAGAACTATATGAACACAATTACAAAACACTTTTTATACAAATAAAAGCAGATGTAAACAATTGAAAAAATATCAGTTGGGTAGACTGAGCCAATGTAATTAAAATGACAATTCTTTTTTTTTTTTTTGGTTAGGCAGTGGGGTTAAGTGACTTGCCCAGGGTCACACATCTAGTAAGTGTTATGTGTCTGAGGCCGGATTTGAACTCAGGTCCTCCTGAATCCAGGGCCGGTGCTCTATCTACTGTGCCATCTAGCTGCCGCTAAAATGCCAATTCTACCTAAATTAATATCTATTAAATGCCTTATCAATCAGACTGCCAAAAATATTTTATAGAGCCAGAAAAAATAATAAAATTCATGTAGAAGAACAAAAGGTCAAGAATATCAAGGAAATTAATGAAAAAAAATGTGAAGGAAGGTAGCCTAGCTATACCAGACCTCAAACTGTATTATAAAGTGGTAAACATCAAAACAGTCTAGTACTGACTAAGAAATAGAGTGGTGGATCAGTGGGATAGATTAGGTACACAGTGCACAGTATTAAGTGACCATAGCAATCTAGTGTTTGACAAGGCCAAAGACCCAAGCTTTTGAAACAGGAACTCACTATTTGACAAAACTGTTGGGAAAACTGGAAAATAGTATAGCAAAAACTAGGTATTGATTTACATCTTATACCATATGCCAAGATAAGGTAAAAATAGATACATGATTTAAACATAAAGGGTCATACCAGAAATAAATTAGGAGAGCAAGGAATAGTTATCTGTCAGATCAATAGAGAAGGGAAAAATTTATGACCAAACAAGAGATAGAGAACATTGAGATACAAAATGGATAATTTTGATTATATTAAATTATATTAAATAAGAAGGAAAGCAGAAAGCTGGGAAATAATTTTTACAGCAGGTTTCTCTGATAAAATCTTTATTTCTCAAATATGTAGAGAACTGAGTCAAATTTATGAGAATACAAGTCATTCCCCAATTGATAAATGGACAAAGGATATGAATAGGCAGTTTTCATATGAAGAAACCAAAGCTGTCTATGGTCATGTGAAGAAAATGCTCTCTACCACTATTGGTTAGAGAAAGGCAAATTAAAACAACTCTGAGGTGCCACCTCATACCCATCAGACTGGCTAATAAAACAGAAAAGGGAAATGGTACATGTTGGAGGGGATGTGGGAGAATTGGGGAACTAAAGTGATATTGGAGTTGTAAACTGATCTAGCCATTCTGGAGAAAAATTTGGTTTGATCTAGCAATACCACTACTAGATCTGTATCCCAAAAAGATCTGAAAAGGGGGGAAATATTTATAGCAACTCTTTTTGTGGTCGCAAAGAATTGGAAATTTAGGAGATGTCCATCAGTTGGAGAATGGTTGAACAAGTTGTGGTATAGGATTATAAAGGAATACTGTTTGTGCTATAAGAAATGACAAGTAGTATGTTTCAGAAAAACCTGGAAAGTCTTATATGAACTGATGCAAAATGAAGTGAACAGAACCAGGAGAACATTGTATACAGTAACAGCAATATTATACAACAGTCAACTGGGACTTAGCTATTCTCAGCAGTACAGTGATCCAGGACAATTCCAAAGGACTCATGATGAAAAATGCTATTCACCTCCAGAGAAAGAACTGATGAGTCAGAATGCAGATTGAAGCATATTATTTTTCACCTTTTTTTCATGTTGGTGTTTTTTTTATGGCTGTGTTTTCTTTCACAACATGACTAATGTAGAAATATGTTTTGCATGATTGCACAAGTATAATCTGTATCAAATTGCTTACCCTCTTAGGGAGGGAGGAGGAAAGGGAGAGAGGGAAAGAGAGAAACTGGAACTCAAATTTAAAAAAAATATGTTAAAAATTTTTGCATGTAACTGGGGAAAAATAATAAAAAATTTTTTTTTAAATAAGTCTTAAAAAAAATCTTTGTATTTTTCAGGAACTCATTGAATTTGTGCCTAAGCTATATTTTTCTGTAAGGCTTTGTTTGTAGATGCTTCAGAGTCATTCTCTTTTATTTTTGTGTTTTGAGCGTCTCCATCACCATAAGGGTTTTTAATGACTAGATTCTTTTTTTGGGGGGGAGGGGAGGTTGCTCATTCTTCTTACCTCCTGACTTCAGACTTAATGTAATGACTGGGTTTTGCTACACTTAGGGAGAAAAGGTCTAGGCTGGTCCTGTTGCTGATTTCTTGACACATTGAGTGTTATATTCCAGATCTCTGGTACAGACTGAGGACCTACAAACTTTCAGTGGTCCCAAAATTGTCTGATCCAAGGCAGTTTAAACATTAACCCCCTGATCTGGGCTCTGGGTTTGAGTGTGAGCAGGAAGACATTACTGCTGGATTCAGCTCTTGTCAACCAAATGGAAACCTCTGCTGGTTCAGAGTGACAGAATTGTAGTCTTTCTTTTGATCTGGAATTTCTGTCCTAGTTATTCCTCTGCGGGCTTCAAAGTGGGCTAGATTTTGGAACTGAGAACCTGAACTGCTTTTGGGCTGTGAGCTACATTGTTGATGCTTGCTTCTGAACTTCCTCCTTTGTCAGTACACTGCCCAGGGCCGTCCCAACAAGGAAGGGAACTCTAGGGCACAGATCTCCTTCTTGGTCCACCCTGGATCTGTGATCCAGAACTGGGAAGTAGCACCAAAACTTCCAGTTGTCATCTGTTCCTGCCAGAATCTTGTCCTCAATGTCTGCAGACCTCTGTGTCTGCCTCCCTATTCTGACTTGAGCTGGATAAATGACTCACTGTGACTTTTTCTGGATTTGATCTGATGGTCCTTTTGAAGGAGTGTCTTTTTTTGTTTTTTGTTTTTATTAGGAGAGGAGAAAGCTCATTTTACTACTTCCTTCTCCCATTAGGGTTATAGTCTAAAAAAAACTGTAATTAGAAAACTGAGAAATCACTCTAAGAGGAAAGAATGAAATTAATTATATGATTGTCCCCCAATACTATGTGTTTTACTTACCAGGAAATAGCCTCATTTAATACTGTGGGTTACTTACAGGCTGTAGCTGCTTTTGCAGTTTCGGCTGTGGCTTCTCAATGGGAGAGGACTGGTAAACCATTTAATCCACTACTGGGGGAAACATATGAATTAATCAGGTAAGAACAAAAGAACAAATAAATGTTACACAATATTGATATCTGGTGGTTGAAATTCCTTTAGCAAATGAAAAAAAATCTTTATTTTCAACATCAATTTTTCTTCTTAGAATAAATAATTTAAATTATTATTTAAAAGATCTTATTAAACATTTTGAATTCTAGAGAAGTTATCATAAATGTAGAATATGGTTAGTAAAACATTAAAACCTTAGTAATTCAGAATAAAAGGAAAGACAGTATTATAGGATTTACTTAAGTCTACATTGTAGGGTATTTTAAAAGAAATGTAGCTTTACCATATATCAAGAGCTGTGTACGTTATAAGCCAAGATATAAATGGGTACTAATATGTAAAATGAGTTAACTTCATCTCTGTACCTTCCACACTACTTTCTTCCAATATTAATTTGATGAATTTTGTGGAAAAGAAAGAACACTTTAGGGTAGGCCTGCACTACACAATAATACATCATAAATATGAGATCCTATGTTGAAAACTAAAAATAAATAAATTTATTAAAAAAATAAAATATGAGATCCTGAGTTTTGCTACTTATTTTAATTTTTAACCTAATAACAGTCATCTTTTGGGCTATTATTATCTCCAATTTTGAAGTAGTGGTATGAAAATTAGTGAACTTTTTTCCAGAGTACTAAACCTCTTGGCTAACTCAAATGCTAGAGAAATAATCAGAAATTATTTGAGTGCTGGTGTTCTCATTGTCTTTTTAGATGCTGGAAAGGACTACTAAAGAAAAATACGATATGTAATTCTTGCCCTCAAAAAAATTATGAATAGGTTATAAGAGACAAAGCTAATATGTATTAAATTACCAAGATTTTTCTGGTACTGTCTCTGTCACTAATGAGCTATGTGATCTTTCACAAGCCCCTTAACTCATCTTGACCTTAATCTCCTCATCTCTAAAATAAGCTGTTTTGACTGTGATCTCTAAGACCCTTCTAGCACTAAAAGTTTAGACAAGTGCTTAATTGTATATTATTAACTCTAGGTGCTGTGTTGCCATTGTTCTTCAGCCATTTTAGTCATGTCTGATTCAATGTGACCCCACTGGGGTTTTCTTGGCAAAAATCCTAGAGTGGTTTGCCATTTCCTTCTCCAGCTCATTTTACAAATGAAGAAACTGATGCAATCAGGGTTAAGTGACTTGCCCAGAGGCACACAGCTAGTCAGTATTTGAGGATAAATTTGAACTTGGGACTTCCTTACTTTAGGCCGAGCACTCTATCCACTGAGCCACCTAGCTGCCCATGCTATACAAATTCAGAAAATGACAGATCCTATTGTTGGCCGCTACACTGGCCTACTATTGTCAGAGAAGGTGGAAGTAACATTATAAGAAAAGGATCATAGAATCATAGGTTTGGAGCAGGAAAGGATCTTAGAATTCACTGAGTCCAACCCTCGTATTTTTCACATGAGGTGTTTCAGTTCTCAAGAGCTTAAGTGACTTATCTAAGATCATGCAGGGGATAAGTGTCTGAGAAAGGATTTTAACCTAGCACTTCCTGGCTTTAAGTCCAGACCTTTATCTCTAAACTGTGCTGTTTTCTCATAAGGCATCAAGGAAGGAATGAGTATGGCTTTTACAGAAAACACTGAGACCTATCTTCCTGGAGCTGATAGTACATGTTGTAGAGTAGTAGCAATAAAATGAATGTTTTAATTAATTGAAATTCTGGATTTATTGGGAGATTAGTGAGAAAATTCTTTTAAAACCACATTAAATATTCTAATAATAATAATAGCTCACATTTATATAGCACTTTCAGGATTGCAAAGTGCTTTACATTCATTATCTAATTTGATTCTCATAACAACACTGTGAGGTAAGTACTGTTCTTATAGATGACAAAAATTGAAGCTTTGCGACATTAGGTGACTTGCTTTGGATAGCACAGCTACTAAGAGTCTAAAGGCGGGATTTGAATCCAGGCCTTCCTGACTGCAAGTTTAGCATTTTATTCACTACGCTACGCAGCCCTGTCATTACAGTATTGAAAACAACATTAAAATATGTTCAAGCACTGGGCATATAAGTGAATTAAAATACATCAGTCAACTCTCTGAAATAGTGCAGGTCCCAGCCCAGCCCTTACCAACTGTGTGACCTTTGACTCTCTCAAATCTCCATGTCCTTCAATTTCCTTTCTTATAAAATGGGGATAACATATTACCTACTTCACAGGGTTGTTTTGAGTAAAATGTTATGTAAATTTTAAATTAGTATGTGAATATGAATAATGTTATAATTTCTACTACGATTTTTATTATTTTGGCATAGTGGGTAGAGGGCAGCCCTATAGACAGAATTCTCTGAGGTGAAGTCCTTTTTCTGAAATAGACTGGCTGTGTTACAGTAGATGTATCATTTAACATCTTAGTGCACCTAAAATTCTTAAGTTTTAGGTGAATTGCTGATCTGCATTAGGAGTTCCTCACATGAGTAAAAGCACACATTCAGAACAAAACAGTTTTAAAAGTAATTATTTAGTAATTGACAGTGTTATAGGCCAGATGGTCATTATTCTGAGAATCAATTTTTATAGAACAAGACCATAATATATACATTATAATATATACTATATATAGAGAGAGAGAGAAAGATTGTGTTGACTCTGGGAGGTAGAGAGAGATAAAAAGAAAGAAAAGATCCTTGACATCACCTTGTTTTCTTGTCATTTCTTTCTTCTAGAAGTGAAGTATAGAATTTCTGTTTAATTGAAATTTTAAATTGGGGAGAGGGTAGATTAGCTATTTTTGGTAACATAAATGTGCTCATTTTGTGCACATGAATCAATACTATCATGTATGAAGACAATAATAAATGTCATATTTTCCATATTTCCATATTTCTCTGCTTTCTGACCAAGTTGTTAATTTCTCTGCAGCCCCAGTTAGTCCAGCTGACAGCCTTTCTGTGTGTACAGCTAGTGTTTGAATACTGTCTTGATTTTTCATTTGATTTAGATGCTCGCTGGCACAGAAGAGCTGAGCAGCTGCTCTTGAAATCTCATTACCTTTTGAGAGAGCTTGAGTAGTTAACAGGAATACATTGTACATACTCCAGTGCTTCATTTCATTATGGATAGTAGAGGTCAGCATGTGATCACAATCATATTTTGTTAGAACTGGGAAAAGACCTTAGAAATTCAACAGACTTGTTTTACAGATAAGGAAACTAAGGCCCAGAGACAGGTGTGTGTTCATACTTTTGTACTCATGGCACTTATTTTCCAAGTATTCCTCTTGACTCTTGCTAGACCCTCTTTTGACTTATTTTTTATATTTTAGATATAAATTTTGATGCCACTTATTAAGTTTTTTATTAGCATTTTGGTCACTAAAAGGCAAAATATAAAGAGTGTATTTAATTTACTGCATAATGAAAAATTCTAGAGAATAGATCTTTTTTAAAGGGATGAAATATTCTCAGAAGCTTGAAATGTTTAATAAAGCACGACACCTAATGGTGTCTAACTAAATGAACTTATTTAATTAAACTAAAATTCACAGACTGATAAAATTATTGTTCCATTTTGGAAAAAAAGTCACATCTGATAAATCATGATTTAATTCTTAGTTTATACTTTTGTCAAAGAATGTCTTTCTACTTTATTTTACATGTAAGACTTTGAACAATCTTTCTAATGTGGAAGTAACATAAATAAGCTAAGCCATTTACTAATGCCTTTTGTCCTCTACAAGTTCCTCTTTTATAGCTAAAAATATGCTTTCTTTTCTTGGCTCGTGAGCATTCATTTTGTAAATTACATCCTTTGGTAGGCAGGTTTTTAAAATCTTATGTTTAAACTCTCCTTCCTCTCCACAAAATACTTCTGGTTAATGACTGGAAATTCTAATTCTGGTTAAGTTAGTAATTATGTGGTTTAGCTTTTTAATGACTGCAACTGTGGGTGTATTCACAATACCTGAACAATTATCAACTGACATTCTTATTGAGAGAGGATTTTAAAAATCATGTCCCTGGCCAGAAATATATTGAACTAGAAGATATTTTACCTTGAGAATATCTTCAGTAATGTTCTAAGGATGCCTGAAGAACTGCTGTTTCAGGAAAACCTTTTTAAAAAGTAAAATGGTTGGTTTCTTGGGCAGTGGTGGAGGCTTTGGCATGGAGTGTCTCCTTTAAATTTAATGTTTTAACATCTTAGTACACCTACAACTGTTATGGTTTAGGTGAATTGCTGATGTGCATTGGGAATTCCTGGCATTATTGTGCCAGAGATAGTACAAGAACTTCTTATGCAGGTGTCTAATTCACTGGTTCTGATCTTCCATTCCTTTATCCTTAAGCTACTTCTTACTGTCAACTCTTAATTATTCTAATCTAATACCAAATACTAATTCCATGAAGTATACCTAGGAATCCATGTTGAAGGCCTTTCATATTGCTTTCCTTGTCATGTTGTCAGATTTGTTTCATGTTCTCCTGAGGTGAAATAGTGATGTGTTTTGTCAGCATGCTGCCTAATTATACAGTCTGTTGAAATAAAATAATTATGTATTAAACATTTCTGGCTAAATACTATTTGTTTGGAATGATAGAACATATGTGCTTCTACTTCCCACTCTGCTTATAAAGGACAAGAATTGGGATGTGTCCTAACCAAACCTCAAATGACATCAATTTACCACTGCCTGCCAACTGATGGGAGCTATGAAAATTGGTGTAGATTCAGTATTTGTTTTGATTTATGGGTTGACCTTTATTTGTTTCAATTTCAGTAACTGATTTTGTTTGAATTAATGTGGACCTTTATCGTTTCCATATTCCTCCCCCTTTCCCCTTCTTTTTTTGGTTTCTAGGGATGATTTAGGATTCAGATTTATATCTGAACAAGTCAGTCACCATCCTCCGATTAGTGCATTTTATTCAGAAGGTCTCAATGAGGACTTTATCTTTCATGGCTCAATCTACCCCAAATTGAAGTTCTGGGGGAAAAGTGTAGAAGCAGAGCCCCGAGGAACAATTACACTGGAGCTTCTCAAGTAAGTATTGGGTAATTTAGCTCATGGGTCTCTCCCCTTTAATGGAGAGATGAGCTATTTCTTTGAAAGATAATTTGCTTAATAAACATCTCTCTCTTGTCTTTGATTGTGTCCACACCTTTATAGTTTGATGGATTAATTTATCTCCTCTAACTTGGCCTAGGTAGATATTGTTAAAAATAATAATCTCTTTTAATTGAAATACTTTGTTCACCTTTCTAATACTAAAACTAACTTAAATACAGATTTTGAATTAATAATATGATCTAGATTTTCAGTTAACCTGGAGAAGTTGTTCAAATGTCTGGCTACTCAGGGACTTTAAAAAGTTTTTTGTACACTATTAATATTCTCTAATCTTTTGCTTAGCACAAACAGAACTTTCTAATTTAGTGATGTATAATAAGGTTAGAAGATAACCTCGCAGCCAAAAGTAGTGACTTAGTTATTTGAGTATAGCAATATAATTTTAGAGACATTATCAATATAATCATTTCCAGCTATGAATTAGCAAATATTTATACAAATATACACACACAAATTTATACAAATATATACAAAGCATTGTTCTGGATGTTAGGGAAATATAAAGATAAATTAAAAATGGACTCTGCTCTGAAGGAGTTTATAATTTAGTAAGATAAATCATGAACACAAATATATATTTATCATAGTCTATTTGTATTATAAAAGAGGTAGAAACAGAATGTGGAAGGTTTGGAACAAGGAGTTCCAGCTTTGGAATTATGGAAGGTTTTTGGAGGATGTGATATTTGAGCTGGGCTTTGGATATTGGACAATAACATTCCAGTAGGCAGTAAACACTGTGAATATGAGAAAGCTCAAGGCATTTGTAAAATAGTAACTGGTTCAATTTGGTTAAAACATAAGGTTTGTAATTACAGATAGAAAAGTGGGTTTTGGAGTGCTTTGAATGTCAGGCTAACAGTCAACAAGCATTTATTAAGTACTTACCATAGGCCAAGCTCTGTGCTAAGAACTGGGGATACAAAGAAAGACTTCCACTCCTCCCCCACCCCCAGGCCAAATACTCCACTCTGAAGGAACTCATAATCTAATGCAAACAACTTAAATAGGAAAAAGGTATATATGTAGGGTAAATTGGAGATAATCTCAGAGGGAAGGCACTGAGATTAAAGAGAACTGGGAAAGGCTTCTTGTAGAAGATAGAACTTTAGCTGAGATTTGAAGGAAGCCAGGAGGCAGAGATGAGAAGGGAGAAAATTCTAGGCATGAGGGACAGCAAATAAAAATGCTCAAAGTTGGGAGATGACTGGTTTGCATTAGGAACAGCAAGGAGGCCAGCATTGCTAGATCACTCGAGTACATGGTAACGAGTAATGTGTAAGAAGACTAGAAAGGTAGGAAGAGACCAGGTTATGAAAAGTTTAACAAGCAAGGGTTTTATTTGAAAGACAATGGAAAATCACTGAAGAGTCTAAACAGTGGAGTTCAACCAGAAGTGTTTATAATTAAAAAAGATTAATCTGATTTTAGTGCACAGCTTGGATTATAACAAGGAGAAAATAGAAGAACAGAGACTGATAAGTCAGTTATTTCAGGAGTCTAGATGAAATGGAGCTCAGCTGGGACATTTCATTTTGGCACCCAACTCCACATGCTATCATATACATAAACTAGTATCTTGGAGCCTTGCTATAACATGACTCATTGCCACATAGATGTATTCAACCAAATACATCAGTGTTGGACTATCTCCAAGGAAGTTTATTTATCACAAGTACCAGGAAAGCTTATAAATAGTCATCTTCTCTATGACATAGTCCAAGGTCAGACACCTTGAAGATAGTGTTGTAGGGAGGGTCTTGACAAAGAAAAAAAAGTCTTTTTGGACAAATATGTGGCTATAATTCCTTAGTAACACTTTTTATTCACTGATAGACTCCACAAAATTTAAGCCACTTCGACAGATTTTAAACTGCTTTTTGTATCCAACCTGGGTAACTTGAGTCTGTGCCATATAGGACACATTTGCTTTGATGTTGTAGATACTGTAGTGGGTTTTGTGCTTCAGGGACTAGATTATACCTCCTTCCAGCTGCAGGATCCCATGATCTAATTTTTGCTAGTAATTATAGCTGTTTAAGGTATTTAGCACAGTACTTGCAACATAGTTGGCTCTTAATAAATGTTTATTGATTGATTGATTGGTTTAAGTTAGCATCACTAGAAATATAGACTGCTTATTTATCTAATATCTAAATTTCTGTTAATTTCTTTTTCTCCAAGAAAGGACATTTGGTGATAATCTTGATTAAAAGAAAAAATAGCTAGAGTATATGTAGTATGGGATAGTTCCTTATACCTCCAAGTTTTCACACCAATGAACACATAGTTACCACAACATGGGTTTTGTAGAGTGTTTCTCTTTGGACAACTTCATAGAAAAGCAATTTTCCTTTGTCTCAGTCTTTTATTGCTTATTAACTTTCCTTGACATTTAAGTAAAAGGCTTTGCTGAGGTTACAAAGGAAAGAAAAAATAAATTTCAAACAAATGCTAAATAAATAGCCCCTATTGAGGCAGTTCAAAGAAATATTGTGCTCTTCTACAGGGTTTAAGATCATTATGGTTTAATTCTGTTTGGAATTTTGCTTCTTTGAATCATGCAGTGAGTTCGCTTTTCTGGCTTCTGACTTGCTTGTTTTTTGGCATCTTTCACAGACATAATGAAGCCTACACGTGGATGAATCCTACCTGCTGCGTACATAATATAATTATTGGCAAATTGTGGATAGAACAGTATGGAACAGTTGAAATTTTAAATCACAGGTAATAGAACACATTTGTGGAGTTAAAACATTTCTCCAGCTAAACGATACCGACCATGTCTTTATGTAATGACCAAACAAGATTATGGCATGGTCGTCTGTTATTATTCCAAAAGGAACATAGGACTTAGGATAACTGAGTTCAAGTCCCAACACTGACACTTTTGACCATGGCCACATCACTTAAACACTCTGCCTCATTTGTACAGTGTGTGTAATTATATTTCTTAATGTGCTATATATAAACACAAGGTATTGTTGATTCTTATTTTTATGTTTTTGTCTTAAACTGTTACGTGTCATGTATTGTTACTTTACTTTTCACTTGTTCTTGTTTATTGCACTGAATTGTAAACTCTTTAAGAACAAGGGTCTTGTCTTATATTTATATTCCCAATACCTAGCGTAGTGCCTTACATAGGATTGAGTGCTCAAGAAATATTTGTTAGATTTGATTTGTGATTGATGACATCATATAGTTATGCAATTTTTACATTTTGATCAAAGCTTGAGTTGGTTAATCTTGTTTTATTTTGTCCTTCAACAAACAATTATTGTGTCAAAATATATGCGAGGCACAAAGATGAAATATGACAACACTTCTGCCTTCTAGGAGCACTTTGTAGCCTAGTAAAGAGGATGAGATGTGCACAGGGTTAACACAATTTAGAAAATGATTCAGTGTATGGGAGAGGTCAAATAGAGTGACATGAGAAGTTCAAGGAGAGAAGAATAATTTATAACTGAGAGTGTCATGGAAGAATTTATATGGCAGAGGAATCCTAAAATTGGCATTGAGGGAGAAATATTTCAAAATGTAGAGGTGAGAGGCAGTGAGAGGTAATCTGTTTTGGTGAGATTTGGAGGATCTGAGAAATGTTATGGGGAATAGCATTCACAAATGTTAAAAGAGAAGAGGATAAGATCAGGGAACAAGAAATAGCTGATTTTTACTAGAGCACAAGAGTATGTGAAAAGGAGTAGTATAAAACAAAGTTGGAGAGGTAGTTTGGGACTAAATTGTAGAGGAATGCCAAATTAACGAACTTGTCTTTTACCCCATAGGCAGTGGGGTTTTTGAGCATAGGAAGCTGACTTTGGTAGTGGCGACTTTGACTAGATTGGAGAGGGGAGGCACAGAAAGCAGAGACACATGGTATGATGCTATTTTAATGGAGCAGGCAGAAAAGTAATAAGGGCCTGAACTAGAGTTTTGGCAGTGAAAGTAGAAAAAGGGAGGTTCAGTCAATTAATGTGTATAAGAAATATTTCAGAGGTTAAAAAAAAAATCAGAATTTGACTCTTTCTCTTTCATCTAACCCATCCAACTAGTTTCCAAGGATGATTCTAAGGTTTTGAAGGAATAGGATAATGCCAGTGCCATTAGCAGAATTTGGTAGTTAGGAGGGTTACATTTTGGAGGGAAGATTTTTGTGACCTCCCTGTACAGTTTACCAAATGTCTTATTTGGAAGTACAGATGAGAGAAAGTAAAAAAGTAAAGAAACAAAACAAAACTAAAAAAAGCTTGGGTTAAAGTGAGGCAGTTGGAAATAAAACCACACAAAATCAAGCCCCTAGAAGAACCTGGTCAGGCTACAAGTTTGAATAGATGACTTCTGAGGGCCCTTTAACATAGATTCTGTGATAAGTTCTGTTGGAAATATGGGGCTAAAGCTTAAGGGAAAGGTCAGGGTTAGTTGAAAAGATTTGGAAGTCTTCTACATTGAGGTAACAATTGGAGCCATGGGAGTGGGTGAGATTGCTTGGGAGTGGAATGAGAAGGGGAGGGAGAGAGAGAAAGAAAGGAAGGAAGGAGGGAGGGACACAAATGATGAAGAAGGGAGAGAAAGGAGTGATAGGAAGGAGAGAAGAGAAGAAGGTGAGAGAGAGGAAGGAGATGAAGAGAATATATTATGTATAAAATAAATGTATGTGTGTGTATATAAAATTGTATGTGTGTATGTGTATATGCACACACACGCATGCATACATGCATACATGCACACATACATACAAGCTAGGTGATTCAGTGGATAGAGCCCCAGGCCTGGAGTCAGGAAGCCCTGAGTTCAAATCCAGTCAGGTGGCAGCTAGGTGGCACTGTGATTAGAACACTGGGCTTGGAATCAGGAAGACTCACCTTCCTGAGTTCAAATCTGGCCTCAGACACTTAATAGCTGTGTGATTCTGGACTAGCTGTGTGACCTTGGATGAGTTACTTAACCCTGTTTGCCTTAGTTCTTCATCTATAAAATGAGGTAGAGAAGGAAATGGCAAACCCCTCCAGTATCTTTGCCAAGAAAACCCCAAAATGGGGTTACAGTGAAATGATGTGGCACAACAAATGTGCCAAGCACTATGCCAAGCACTATGCCAAGATGCCTGAAGTACTCCCTAAAGTGGACTTTCTGCTATCCCAGACCTCATCCTCTAAGTATCTAGGGTTCTAGAGTGCTAGCTATGAAGAGAACTCTAACCCATTTTAAGACCAAATTTTTAAGTGTAGGGGGCAGCTAAGCATCTAAAGGGGTTGCTAAATACTTAGAAATCTCAGTGTCTCTAAGGCATTGGGACTGTGGAACGAGAGAATGGGCACAGGGGGAAAGGGGAGACGTAGCTGCTGGGAATTGACATTGGAAGCTGAGTGTTTGTGCCAGGTGGAGGGTATGTCCTGGGTGTGTCTCATATTCCTACCATTTGGGGGGTAAACTCTGGGATAATACCAAAGGATGAGTTCATTGTGCCCTATAGGGACCTAATCAACTTTTTCCTTAGTCACTCAAGTTTTAGAATTATGAAAAATCTTGGCCCTCCTGGAGTGACAGGCCAGGACTTAATCCTGTTCCCAGTCATCATAGGACAGATGGCCCCTATCCATTTTGTCATTTCCTATCCTATGGCAAGTACATGCCCAGTTCTTAATAACCTTATCCTTGTGCTTCAGAGTGAGGTCTGCTGAAGTCAAAATGCTCTTCCCTTCTTTCTCTCCCTGTACTCTTACCCATATGCACTTCAGTCCTACCCTTCCATAGTTCATATGCTCTTCTTTCTTCCTGTTACATTGTGCCCTATCACTTTGCTTTGTACTTTTTCCTTCTTCTTTCACAGAAACTTGACTCTGTCCAGAAGTTACTATAGTGTTTTTACCTTTCTTAGTACTGAGTGTTTGTTATATCATTCCAAACCACCCCACCCCCAACAAGAATTTGACCAGAAGGAGGAGTAGCTGTACTACTCCATCCTACATCCATATTGTCCCTTTGCTGACACCACTCAGCAAACCTCTTTATTTGTGGATTCATCTGCTGACCTCTAGGTCATTTTTCCTCCTCTTTTCTTAAGCTGTTTAGTGCTGTAGTGGGGGCCATTCTGATCTATACCTGGCCACTGGACCCAGAGGGCTCCAGAGGAGAAAGTGAGGCTGGTGAATTTGCACAGCCGTCCCTCACTTGAATCCAGTTCACTTGCAAGTCATGACATCACCTTCCTGATCATGACCTTCAAGAATGAAGGACAAACAACAACAACATAGTGTGGTAGTGCTAGGCTTACATTATTCCTCCCTACGCCCCAACCCTTTCTTTGTACTTGAGGCCTTCTACATATTTGTTGGTGTTTTCCCATGAACATACTGACATCCCATTTCATTCATTTTCTAAACTCCCATGAACTCCATCTTCATTCTCCTTAAGCCACATACAGGGATGTTCATACCCTTGAACTGACCATGACTCTTAACTGTTCTATCCAGAATTTTGAAATTCTTCTCTTTGGACAGATCCTCTTCTCTTTCAGTCTTTCCTTCTGTCTCACCTTTCCTAAAACTTTTCATCCTCACAGTGGTCTAAAGTCACTCTGGTCCTCCTTCTTTTAGCCCATCACCTTTGTTCTGGCCTCATGTCCCTCCCTCCATACGTATGTTGTCACCTGCCCTCCTGTCAAATTTTGCCAAACTTAAACCTTATTTATCCCCACTATCTCCTTTCTCCATTTGTGCTCGTGTGCTGAACATTCCTAGAGAAAATTGTGTGACTATGTTAACTGAGTTCACTATAAATTTATCTCATCTAACCTCAAACTGGAACCTTATTTCTGCACAGCAAACCTTTTATTCTTCCTTGTTTGACTTTCTATTACAGTGTTCACGGTGGCTATTACGAACCTCTCTCATTATGTACTTTCTTCCCACTCCATCTCAACAGAAGACCTTGTTACATACTTTACTGAAAAAAAAAAAATTAAAGGGTTTCCTTTACAAACTTCCTCTCCTACTCCCACTCCACGTCTTCAAATCTCAGTCCATCATCTCCTATTCTCTCTTTCTTTGCTGTAGTCTCTGAAGAAGTGGGTCTTCTCCTTGCTAAAGCTAACCCTTCCACTTGTACACTTATCCTCTGGGGGCTTCCCCCCTCACATCCTTCTCTTTCTCGCATCATTCTCTTTCTTTCTTATACTCGACCTCTCCTGATGCACTGACTCCTTCCCTTCTGCCAACAGACATTCCCAGGTCTCCTCCATCTTCTAAAAAAAAAATCCTTCACTTGTTGCTGCAATTCTCTCAAGTTATCATCCTATATATTTTCACCCTGTCAGAGACAAAATCCTAGAAAAAGCAGTTTACTACAGTTGTTGCTATTTCTTCATTTTCCACTCATTTCTTAATCCCCTTAAATCTGATTTTCAGACCCACCATTCAGCTAAACTATCCAAAGTTACATGGTCCTAACTACTAAATCCAATGGATTTTTCTGAGTCTTTGTCCTACTTCACCTTTCTGAGACTTTTGATGCTGTTAACTAATCCCTCCTCCTGAACATTCTCTCTTCCCTTGGATCTCTTCCTTGCCTGTCCACTGCTTCTTGATTTTCTTTCATGAATTATCTTCCTCTTCCTGATTTTTAAGTGAGTGGCCCCAATACTCTGTCTCTCTTCTTTTATCTTGGTAAACTTTCTCTCTTGGTGCTCTCATCAGTTCCCATGGATTAAATAATGGGTGCAAATAAGTCCAGAACCTAGAAATAAAAATAATTTACATTCACATAGCTCTTTAAGATTTGTGAAGTGCTTTGAATGTAGTCTCATTTGATGTATGTGTGTGTGTGTGTGTGTGTGTGTGTGTGTGTATCTATCTCTATATGTCCATACACACATTTGTTGTTCAGTTATTTTTCAGTTGTGTCCAACTGTTTGTGTGACCCCATTTGGAGTTTTCTTGACAAAGATACTAGAGTAGTTTGCCATTTCCTTCTCCAGCCCATTTTACAGATGAGGAACTGAGGCAAAAAGGGTTAAGTGACTTGCCCAGGGTCACACAGCTTGTAAGTATCTGAGGCCAGATTTGAACTCAGGAGATGAGTCTTCCTGATTCCAAGCTTAGTGCTCTAGCCACTGTGCCACCTAGTTGCCCTTCACCTATCTGCCCCTATATACAGCTATTCAATGCTTAATAGATATACATATAATATATACACACGTGTGTGTGTATCCTTAATCCTAATCTTTTTCTTGAACTCTAGTCTCATATTTACAACTAGATACCCTATAGACATGTGGAGAACCTCTGTCTTAGTTCAGGTTTTCATTACTTCTTACACGAAGTTTTATAATAGCCTCCTAATTGCTCTCCAGCTCAAATATGGCTGCCAAATTAAATACATTTCCTAAAATACATCTAACCACATCAAACCTTATGAAAAAATCTTTAGTAACTCCATTGCCTCTAGGATAAAACAATTTTCAGCCTATAATAGGTCTATGGACCTCCATAGGCTGACTTTTGTTTAGCCTCCTAGTCTTATTTCATATATCTTTCTTTTATTCATTCTTTGTTCCAGTCTTATTATTCTGCTCACTTATACCACTACATGAGTTTTCAACTCCTGCCTCTGTGGCTTTGTACAAGTTGTCTCCCATGTATAGAATATACTCTTTCCTCATCTCTGCCTCATAGAATCCTGAGCTTCTTTAAAAGTATTGCTCAGCACAATGATCAGTAGCAAGATTGGGCCTGTAAATGGCCATTACATTTCCAGCCTGTGCAAGATAGGAAGACCTAGTTTAAAAAAAAAAAAGCTATGAAACAAGATTCTTCTACTTTTCCACAAACTATAGCTGTCCCTTCAAAGCTCTGATCAAATTCACCTCCCTGAACCAGGCTTTAAGTCCCTCAAAACCACAGGCATCCTCCTGTCTCTTAATTGGAAGGGTCCTATTTCCAAGAAGCTGACCAACCTGGAATCTCCCTAGTTTCACATATACAATGGGTACCCAATAAACACAGCTGCTTGGTTAAAAAAAAAAAATACTGCTCAGGTGTTACCTCTTAAGCAAGTCTTTTCCTTATTCTCATCTTCTCCCCCTAGTTATTAATGCCTTCTTGAAATTATCTTATTATCACATCATATTACCTTACTCATGCTATTTTCCTTTAATAGAGTGTAAGCTCCTTGGGGGCCGGACTGTTTCTTTTTTGTCTTTGTATTCCCAGTACCTCATACAGTACCTAGGCACTTAATAAATGTTTATTGAATTTTACTGCTGGACATCATAGGATTTGAGGTTAAGGGATTGAGAGGTCTGGGTGTTAGGGTCATTTATGTGACTATCCAGGTTGCCAGAAATGATGGCATAGAATGGGGAGAAGAGGAAGCCTGTGCCTGTGTCACTAAGGAAGGCAGGAGAATGCCTTGAAGGTCATCATATGACAGCAACAAAGATTGGTAAAGGGATTCTGTTTGAACCTGTTCTAAACATTGAATACTTAGATTTGCTTCCTAGGCAAATTGCTTGTAATCTTTGAAATGTGATGGGAACATTTTTATAATGCAGTGGAGTTTTATGGTTTCTTTTCTAGAACTGGAGATAAGTGTGTACTTAATTTTAAACCATGTGGGCTGTTTGGCAAAGAACTTCATAAAATAGAAGGATATGTTCAGGACAAAAGGTAGGTGCAAATCATTGTTGGTTCAAAGTAGTTTCTGTCTTTATTTAAACAAAGCTTCTATATAAATTATTTTAATTTGGACTTTAATTTTTGAAAATAATTACGTTTTGAACTTAAATCCATCTAGCCTTATGATTTCATTGGTGTAGAGGAACTCCTTGTAAGGAAACTCTTTCTACTAATGCAAATTTAACTTAAGAGTCTTAGAAAGTTTTTATGGAGTATAGAAAGTTTAAATGACTTACCCAGAGTCATATAGCTAGTATGTGTCTGGCAGATCATTCTAACTCTGAGACTGGCTTTCTGGCCACTGCTGCATGTTGTTTCTCTTATGATTGGACGTCGTGAAATGTTTGAAAAATTTGCCAACAGGCTTAAAAATCACACCTTTATTGCTTTCTTTGACTATTGATTAAAATCCTCCAATTGCTACTATTTTTATTAGATTTTGTCATATCTATAGCTTGTCTATATAGAACCTATTTTCAAATTAGAAAAGGTAGGGAAACCATTTAATAGGTGGGTTTTGTTTTCATTTTTGGTATAGTGATAGGTGATTAGATCCCTAGGAAGATGTCTTCTGTGATGATACTGTCTATCTCAGTGATCTTAATAATATGTGATTTGTGTAATTTTCTCACATATTCCTTTAGAGAAATCATGTGGCCAATTTAAAAGCAGAAGAGTGAATTTGGTTTCACTGTGTACCCTTTATCTGCTTAAAGCTGAGCCTCATTAACTAGTTTGTGGTGAGAGCTGTTTTTTTTTTTTTCATGATTGACTTTTGGGATTTACATAATTTAAATACCTTTTTTACTTTTTGCAAACAGATAGATTGTAATGGTATTGTAATAAACAACTTGACTTTTGCCTTAACTTATTTCAGTGGCTTTTATGAAAAGTGACCTTTCTTGGGCAGGCCATTTCACATCTCTGAGATTCAGATTCCTCATCTAAAAAATAAAAAACTGGAATTAATTTATGGTTTCTTCTAATTGGACCTTTGTATTTTAAAATGAAAACATTTTGGTATTTCTTAGCCTTCTGTGCCCTACTGGGTTTTAAAACCTGTTCAGATAACCCATAAAATAACTTGGAAAAAAAGAATTAAGGAGTTTCCCTCATTTGAATAAATTATAATTCAGCTTATACATTTGAAAGAACAGCAGCCTTGTTCATTAGAACAGACAGAAAGGTTGCATTGCACACACACTATTTCTCAACCACCAAAGAGCCAGTCTTAGGCATCATGAAAACTGTTTTTTGTACTCGTATCCAGGTACTTCATAGAGACATATTCAAGGGGTTCTGTCCAGGGCATGTGATCTGGAGTCCTGGTGCTCATTAACTCTAGGTGTTCATATTCTTGCTTGTTCTTGCTTTTCTAGTTTTCTGCTTTTAGGTTAGGTTGCATTATTTCTGAAAGTGTACCTTTATAAATGTAATTCTCCTTTAGGAAGAGATCATTTTTCTTACTGTTAGATCACTGTGCTTGCCCAGTCCCTGGCATGAACTTCACAGATAATGGTATCTTTACAATAACACTGATAATACTAATGCCATTTACGTGGCATTTTAAGGCATATAAAACTCTTTACATGTATTTTCACATTTGATCTTCACAATAACCCTGTTGCTGTTATCTCCTTTTTACAGTTGAGGAAACTGAGGCTCATAGAGGTTAAATGTCTTGCCCAGGGTTCATGCATTCCAGTGTCACAGGCAGGCTTAGAATCCAGATCTTTCCTGACTTCAAGTTTAGTACTGATTCCAAGCAGAACTTTCAAAGGTGTCACCCTTCTACTGCTCTACGTGCTAGAAAAACATGTATGTTAACCTTTTAAGCTGTTGAACAAATATGAAATTGCCCTCTAGAGTAATTAAACCCAAGCTCTAGGGAATATTAGCTCTATCACCAGAAAAATCAATACTTTATCACCCCTTAAGCCTTGAATGCAGGCATATCATTCTTTCTTCTTCCCCACTAGCTATGAAAAAAAATGACTGTTTTTGCTCATTACTTACCACTGGCTACATCCTTCTCAATCCTTTAATTTATTCCTTTCTTCCCAATTCTTAAACAAGGGAAGTGATCCATTCTGTAATGCTAAAACTTCTGTGCCTTCTTTCTATTTTTAACCCTTAATAACTGAGTAGTACATTTTGCAACTTGATCCTTTTTAATGAAAACCGATTTTCTTAGCTCTGCTTGCCCCTTGTAGCATTGCCATTCAGCTTTTCCATTTTTCACACCCTCACACTCTTTTCTGCCTTCCCAATAAACCTTAACTTTTTTAAGGGAATGAACTAAGAGCAATGAATATTCTGTCCATAGTAATATGAATAATGATCTAAACTAGTTTTTCAGTGTTTTTGTGCCCAGAGGCAGCCCAGATATTCTGTAGGAAAAAATGCCAAAAGAAGAAGCTAGAGCTACTGTTGAAATTAAAATCCTGCTAATTTAAATGAATGGTTTGTAACTTATATTAACTGTGCAGAAAAGAAAATAAAGTTCTTTTTGACTGCAGCAAAAAGAAGCTCTTTATGATATATGGCAAGTGGACGGAATGTTTGTGGGGCATAGATCCTGTTTCCTATGAGTCCTACAGAAAGCATGAAAGGAAAGGTGACCACCAGAAAAAAGCAAAACCGGTAAGGTTTGTAATACTTGGAATAAGTGTCCCTGTGAATTTTTGTAGCATATCTGAGAACAAAAATAGGTGGATGAAGGGCTTCAAAGTAAATACGTATAAATTAGCTCATGATTACAAACATCTAGCAAATCATCCTTACTTTAAACTAACCTATAAGAAGACCACAGTGTACCTTAGTGTCCCCAGATAAGAAGTGGGAAATGAATGGGGTAGTTATAGTTTTTCTGTTATGATGAAACAGGCTAGCTGGTTTCTGGAGTTGATTGAAACTGAAAATTGTGAGCTGAATGTCATTTGAGTTCACATCTTTCTAATGTCTTTAGACTTTTAAAGTGATTACCCACCTAAAAGACAGGAAAAAAACTTACTTAAAAGTATTTCTCCTTGCAAGGTCTATGTTTTGGCATTTTTCCCACAAAGACAATTAAGTTCTGTGAATTTTTTATCCTCATAGTTAATGCTTATAATTATAAGCCCATATCTTTTCCTTACTTTTAGTTTTCAGTACTAGATAATATATTCAATAATAATACAGTCCTAGGAAAAAAAATCTTTTTTTTCTCTGCCCTATGCAATGTTGTACTTTTGGACTAGCTCATTCTCCAGTCTAAAATTAAAGCTGGAATTTGAAAAGACACCTGATTTCTATTAAATAAATTGGAGTACACTGGAGATGGTTGTTGTTGATTTAACATACAGTCAACATCTGCCATACTTTTGTCACTTTTATTTTACATTGTAATAGAAATGGACTGTAATAGTCACTTTTACCATTAATACTCATTTATTTTAAAAACTTCATACTTCTGTTTAAAGGAAAGGTGGTTCTCAAATGTCTATTGATTGATGTCTTTATACATGTTTAACCTTTTCAGCAAGATTTAAAGTACTCTATTCATTTTTATTTCCAATGGCCTTTAAATGAAACTTTTTTTAGTAGGAGTAACAGAATCATTCTTGAGTATATTTTCAGTTTTTCCTGTCATACGGGACTATAAGGTAACATGCATTCAGTTTTTACAAAGTGCTGTCTCAATTTATTGAAGCAGTTTTCAGGCTTTATTTCTCATTCTTTTAATCATCAAATTCAACTGGCAAGCTATACCACCAAAGTTTCCTTTGCATATTTTCTCCCCTTGATGTCCTTGTTTAATATGTTACGCATATACGTATATATCTATACACACATATATATCTGTATCTATATCTATATTTATATGTGAGAGATTGGACTAAATTCCCTCTAAGCCTCCTTCCAACTTTGAATAAATGATCCTATATATCATACTGTCTTGTGGCTGACTCGCAAGTCGTAAGTCCACCTTATACTGAGGTATTTTTACCTAAAAATCACCAAATGGAAATGGCCTGTCTTGAGGATAGAAATATACATCTGGATGACAGAAATGTGTCATTCAAAAAGATCAGTATGATCTCAAATAAAAATTCCATTTAAAAAGCATTTAGCCACTCTGAACCAATATTATGTAATGTTGTACTGTATGTAAATTACTTGATAAGGGTAAGCGTAAATTTTACCCTTTGGTTTACCCTACTCAGTTCTGAAAAGCGGTGAGCAAATTGGCACTGGTAAAACCTTTGTAAGGGAAGAGTGCTGGATGCTGTAGAAACAGACAGTTTTATTTCTTTCCCCGAATTGATGACCTGACTGTACTCTTAAATTGGGCAAGATATGTTTTTTCTTAATAAAAGCCCTCTCTCAAGAAAAGGAGGGGAAATGGGATTAAATTAAATTCTTCCCTGTGTTTTATTAACACAAAGTTGTTGCCAATTTCTGAAGTTTAGCAATCAAATCTTATATATAGTGACATTTCATAAAGTGCCTTGGAAATAGAGTTCAATCAATTGGATACCAGGAAGGCAGGAATTGTCTGGACCAGCCTAGTTGCTGTAGTGTACTTATTAGCAATTCATAAAAGCTTTGGAAAGTAGAAACCAGATGAAAAGCTTGGGCCTATTGGTTTACATAGGAAATTAAACTACAGTTGGTGTTTAATGATTTGGGAACACCATACTAAACATGTGGTTAAACAGTTTAATGGTGGAAGTTTTATTGGAAACTTCAAGTACTTTGGAAATAATGTTATAAAGGTAGCTTTTTAAATTTTAGTTTGTATAGTCTTTTGAAATTCAAAGTAATTCCTTTCTTGTTCAGTGTTTAGCTCTCTTCCATGTCCTTCCACTGTAGTGTCCACTCAGTTTAAGAGTATAGGTTTTTAAGAATTCATGAACAAACGGTGCCTTTTGCTTTGCTCAGTTATCCAGTGAACCTTTGCATCTTCGCTTTGAGCCTCATGTTGTGTAAGCATCTTTAACTGCATTCAACTGTGGTGGGTATGAAGTTGAGTAACAGTTCCAGCCCTTATGAAGCTTACACTCTAATTAAAGGAATAAGAGTTAAGCAATAGGTTACCATAATTGAGTAAATGCCAATATTATATGACAAGGGCTTTAGAGAGTTTAAAAAAAAAAAAGTACTTTGTGAGATGAGTGAGGAAAGATGATTACTTATGGGGTATCAAGGAAAGCTTTGTGAAGAAGGTAGCTTTTGATTTGAGTTTTAAAGAATAGGTAGGAATTCAACAGGCTCATCAAGTAAAGTATTTTCCCCAGTTTTGAATACTAATTGAACTGTTGATTTGTTAACATACTACGTAATTTGCAAAAGCTATTTTTAAAAAAAATCTTTTTATGGTCATAAGAAGCCTGCATCTTTTTCTTATGGTTGATTACGTGCAGAAATTTTCAATATTAAGGGTGAGTATAAATAATGCACCTATTCTATTAAAAAGTCATTATTTCTTAGAGGTGTTCTCTGCTGTAGGACTTTCTGTGTAGCACTAGTATTCCTATGAACTTTGAGTTTTATTTATTTAAATAGTTTGCTTAATAGTACATTAATTTGACTAAAAAGAATAAGTTATTGGAGAATAGGAAGAGGTCATAAATATGTGACTTATTTTCAGAATTCTTAAATTTTATTGACCTTTTACCAGAGGTTTCATTTCACAGATGACAGTGTGGGACTCAGAATTAGGGTTTATGAAGTGTCTATCATGTTAAAAAGAACCTTGGTATTGTCTTACTTTTCCCTTTCCATCACCTCTCATATCTAGTCATTTACCAAGTTCTGTCAATTCTACCCCCACAACATCTTTCATTTCTTTCTTCACTGCTATTCCTACTATTGGTGCTACCCACTTTTAAACCCGCAATACCTGGGGTGTTCCAGTGACCTCTTAAATGCTTAATTTAACCGCTCTTTCTGCTTCCAGTATTCCTACGTCTCTCTTCCATCTTGCAAATTGCCACATTATCTTCCTTAAGTATATATCCTTTCTCCTCTCAAAAATCTTCAGTGGCTGCCCATTGCCTACCAGGCAGAGTTCACTGTCTTTTACCTTACTTTCAAGACTCTTCACAATCTGACACTGCCCTGTCTTCCCACACCCAACATTCCATCTAAACCTAATTTCTCAGGCATTGCGCTCACCAGATTCCATTCCTTTGCTCATGCTGTTTCCTGTTACTGGAATGGCCTGCCCTTTTTTTTTTTAACCTATTAATTTTTTACCCTCCATTAAAGTCTTTTAATTGCTATATTCTCCATAAATTCTCCCCTGGTTCCCTTTTCAGTGCAACCTGTACCTCAAAATTTACCTCTTTATTTTATACCTTTCTAATCCATTTACAATGTGACATTATGTATTTAAATTATCTATGTATGACTCCTCTTCCCAAACTGTAAATCCCAAGAGGTCAGGGATCATGTCTTATAAACTTGGAAACTTTGTGCCTCAGTGCCTAGTACAGTGTCCTACACACATTAGTTGCTTAATAAATGTTCGTTGGATGAATGAATAAATTCAGGATTAAACACATGGTTTTATATATTTTAGGAGGATGAGACTGAAAAATCTGAGAGTGATGTGGCTGATGATGTGCCTGAGATCCAAGATACAGTGCAAGTCATACCTGGCAGTGAGCTCCTCTGGAGAATAAACACAAGGCCTCCAAATTCTTCTCAGGTAAACGTATAGTGGAATATAATAACACTTGGTTTATAAGGGTATTTCTGAGCATGTAATCCTAGTGTTAGTCATGTAGGGATACATAGTAGTTCAGTGCTGTTTTCATTTTTTAGGAAGAGGATGTAGGGAATAGAATCTGAAGGCGCAGGGCAGATCTGAGAATATAGGAATTGTGAAGTTTGGCCCTTGACAGGCTGGAAACGTATGGAAGTGCTTAGTCATGCTGTCTTAGAAAAACAGGGATATGTATTTGCATGCCTCATCTTAGGCTTAAATTGCCTGTCCTGAAATGATTTTTGAGGGACTCTTGATTGTTAACCTGAGATCCATGGACCCATGGAGTCAGTGAACTTGAATGAGGGGGAAAATTACATTTTAATTTTCACTAATCATTGAAATTTAGCATTTCCTTCAGTTGTGAATATAGGAAACAGACATTCTGAGAAGGGGACCATAGGCTTAACCAGGCTGACAGAGAAGTCTGTGACACCAAAAAGAGTTAAGAAGCTTTGTTCTAGGGGCAACCAGGTGGCTTAGTAGAAAGAGCACTGACCCTGGAGTCAGAAGGACCTGGGTTCAAATCCAGCCTTGGACACTTACCAGTTGTGTGACCCTGGCCAAGTCACTTAACTCTGATTGCCTCAAAAAAAAAAAGAAAGAAAGAAAGAAAGAAAAGCGTGCCATGTTTTGGGGCAGCTAAGTGGCACAATGGATAGAGGACCGGCCCTGAAGTCAAGAGGACCTGAGTTCCAATCCGGCCTCAGACACATAACACTTACTAGTTGTGTGACCCTGGACAAGTCACTTAACCCCATTGCCTAACCAAAAAAAAGAAGCAGCAGCAGCAGCTCTGTTCTAAAAATTAATTTTTCTGAGTTATTTTGAACAACAAAACATAATTTTCCTCATTTTTGTCTTTGTAATCCCAGCTCCTGGTCTAAAACCCATTTTGTTTCAAAATACTTTCTAGTTTTCCCAGAATTTCTTGTCAAATAAAGAGGTATTTTGGTAACATTTGTATTCTTGGGTTAATCCAACACAAGGCTAGCACACTGAGTACTTCTGGATCTTGATTATTTATTTTTTTCTGATCTACTTTTCTTTGTTTCTTTGTTTCTTTTTCATTTACTAAACAATTTTGATTATCTCTTTCATCCAGACTTGTGATTTCATCAGTGTAGGGAGTACATCCTGAGAAAATTCTCTCTACCAATGAAGATCAGCAACTATTAGTTTTATAGGGTTTCTTAGAGCACTAAGAGGTTAAGGGATTTGCTCAAGGCTGCACTGCCAGTATGTATTAAGGCAAAAATTGAATGCAAGTCGGCCTAAAATGATGGCTCTCAATTCACACTATGTCATGCTGCCTCTCATCTTTTAATGATTATTCTTTTAAAGTAAAGGTTTGGTATCTGGTAATACGAGGCCCCTTTAATTCCTACTTTTTTTTTTCTTTCATTATTTCCCTTGAGATTCTAGACCTTTCATTTTTCAAATGTAATGTTTTTATTTTGTCTAGTTCTTTAAAGTAACTTCTTAGTAGTTTGGCAAAGCATTAAATTTGCAAATAACTGAAGTAGTATTGTAATTTTTATTATATTGGTCCTGCCTATCAATAATGAATAATTTTTCAATTACTTTCTTTCTGTAAAGAGTGTTTTACAATGTAATTACTCAAGTCCTGAGTGTGTCTTGGTAGGTTAATTTCCAAATGTTTTATGTATTTTATAGCTTTTTTGAAAGGGACTTTATAATTTCCTCTTTTTTTTTTATGAGTAACTATATAGAAATGCTGATAATTTTTTGTAGATTTATTTTGTATTGTAATAATTTACTGAAGCTATTGTTTCAATTAGTTTTTTCCTTAATTCTATGAAATCTTCTGAGCACTAAGGTCATCTGCAAAGGGGAATCATTTCATCTCCTCTTTATTGATGTTTATACATTTAATATTTCTGTCTTTATTGTATTACTAGTATTTGTTAGAATACTGTCAAATAATAATGAAAAAAGTAAATAATAACCTTTGCTTTACCAGTGTTTTATAGAACATTTTTTAGCATTTCTTCATTCCAAATAATGCTAGTTCTTACTTTCAGATATATACTTTTAATTAAAATAAAGAAGGGCCCTTCTGTGCTTATGTGTTTAGGGTTTTTAAGATAAATGAGTAGTGTATTTCAGTGAATGCTTATTCTGCAACTATTGATATAATCATGTGTTTTTTGTTGATTTTATTTAAAGCTATAGTTTTAGTGGCCAGTGCTAGTAGAAAACTATAAATATTTTCTTCTTAGATTCAGTCATTAAAAGGAACATGCTTAATATTCAATTCACCAAAAAAATTATTTAGCACCAGTTGAATTAGTGACCTAAACATAAAAAGAAATATCATTTTTAAAAATTAGAGAAGAGAAGGACATAGGTACCTTTTGGATCTATAGGTAAAGGAAGACTTTATAACTTATAAGGGATAGAAAAGATCACAAAAGACGAAGTAGATAATTTTGATTATGGAAAATTAAAAGACTTTTGTCTGAACAAAATGAGTATGCTAGCACAAGAAAAGAGGCACAAGAACAGGAGAGGGAGAGAAAAATCTTTGCAACAAATATCACTGATAAAAGTCTGATATCTAAGATATATAAGGAATTGACTCAAATACCGAAGAGTAAGAGTCATTCCCCAGTAGGTAAGTGGTCAAAGGATAAGAACAGTTTTCAGAAGAATGCTGTCATCGATGATATCAAAATGTTGTAAAGATGACAAAAGATGAAAATAATGTTGGAGAAGCTATGGAAAGACAGGCAAACTAATATACTGTTGAAATTATGAATTTATTTAGATACAGCTTTTGAATTATTAAAATTAGTCAGCTTTTCTCATCTTTTGCCCCACTAATCCCCCATAGGCATATAGCCCAAAGATAAATATCGAAGTTAGAAAAAAATAGTCCCCTGTTTAATGGGATCTTCAGAGTAGTACTTTTGTGTTAGTATAAAAACTGGACCCAAAGTAGGTGCCCATTGATTGGAAAATGGAAGAACAAGTTGTGGTAATTGAATAGAACAGAGTATTATTGTATAGTAATTAAGTGATGAGTATGTGGAATTGAGAAGAAGAAGAATTGATGCAGTGCAGCAACAGAACCAGGAGACCAGTATAGGCAGTCGAATGCAATAACCAATTTTGATCCTAGGCAACAGGTGATGAAATATCTAATTTTTATTTAAAACTGACTCAGAGAAATGTTTTTTGTTTTGGATTTTTTTTTTTTGGCATAATCTCAGCTTAAAAATTAAAATCTGGTATGTAAAAATAAATGAAATTTATGGTAATAACTTTTTTCATGTGTATTTTTTCTCAGATGTATAATTTTACCAGTTTTACTGTGAGCCTCAATGAACTAGAAAAGGGCATGGAAAAGATTTTAGCTCCTACAGATTGCCGCCTTCGTCCAGATATCAGAGGCATGGAAAATGGTAACATGGGTATGTTTTTGTTGTTGAATTATTATAACCTCCTCTGTTTTTAGCTTCATCTTACATTCTTGCTCATGCTAAAATCATGCTAAAGTTTTCAGACAGAAAACTTTAAACCAACAATTCCCAGCCTAGTTAAGATAACCCATAGTGTCTCCAAGGGTTGTCGTGCAATGTTGAAAAATAAATTTAATTTCCTAAAATTTCAAAAAAGTAAATAAATACCATTGTCCCTCAGCACGCCTTTATTACATACTTACTGTGTGCCAGACACTGTGCTGAGGGCTGGAGATACAAAGAAAAGCAAAAACTATAATCCCTGCCCTGGAGGAGCTTACATTCTAGTGCAGGAGACAATATGTAATTAGGTAAGTACAAGATATATAGAGAGTGGATGGGAAGTAATTTGAAAAAGGCAGGCATCATCAGTTGAATGCGCTGGGAAAGGCCTCCAAGATGAGCTTTGAACTGAGCCTTCGAAAAGATATAAGGGTGAGCCAACCACTTTTAGTGGATGGAGAGAGCTTCAAACTCAAACAGAGCTGTGTTGGAGCATAGCAACTCCTCCAAAATTGGTCGTCATTGCTGTCTTTGTTTATCTACCAAATTATCCCCCCATTGTTCTTCCCTGAGGTCTGTAAACCTTTGTATTCAGCTTTTTCATTCATAACTGGTAGCATGAAGTTTAATAAGGCACAGATGCTAAAGCTGTTAATTATGTTTTAAAAAGGATAGAGAATCAAAAACAATGCCTTGTTATTGAAGTTTATTCTTTTGTGTCTCATACTTTTTGGTTGTATTTTTTAGTTTTATTATCATGAAATGTAGACTGTCCATAATTTTCTAACCAAAATGAAATTTAATTTAGAGATTTGGAGTTTTCCTTTTTTTTCTTTTTAGCTTAGACTTTTCAAAAAAGAATATTAAAGTCAATCCTTTTTTCCATTACATCTGCTCATTTATGATTTTTGTCTGCATACAAACACACACACACACACACACACACACATATTATTTAGAAATGAATTCCTTCCATTCAGATTTATTTCTAAAGAGGTACTCATTTATCCTAGATTTAGCCAGTCAGGAGAAAGAAAGACTAGAAGAAAAACAAAGAGAAGCCCGGAAGGAGCGTGCCAAAGATGAGGAAGAATGGCACACAAGGTAAGCTTTAAAGAGAATGGTGTGGGGGCAGCTAGGTGGCGCAGTGTGTCTGGCTTTGGAGTCAGGAGGATGTGAGTTCAAATCCAGTCTCAGACACATGTCACTAGTTGTGTGACCCTGGGCAAGTCACTTAACTCTGATTGCCTTACCAAAAAGCCAAAAAAAAAAAAGGATGGTGTTAAGAAACCAAATTGATACATTTTGAGAAAAGTCTGTGTGCTCTGAACCTCTTTCTACTCAAATATATTATGACTTACTAACTAGAAAAAAAGAATTAAAATCTTAAGAAACTTATCACTTATAGTCTAGAAACATCATGATGATGATGAATTCTTTGGTCTTAGCAACCCATGAAGCAAAAGTAGAAAATGATTCACTGTCCTGTGTAAGTCCCCTTCTGCTTCTACAGTGATGAAAAAGGGGTGCTCATTATAAAGAATGAATCACTTTTAGTGCCTGTGGATTGTCACAGAGTGAAAGACAGTTTTGATGGCCACAGCAACTCTTAAAAGGTTTTTAATTTTTAGACCAATGCAGCTGTTAGTTTCCTAAATGGGAGCTTCTTATCTGATGCTAGTGAGTCAGCACACTAGAAGAATGTCAATCTTATACATTCTCACTCTTAATGAAACCAGAAGGTAGAAGAAAATTGCAGCATGACTCCTGATTATCCTTGAAGAAGCACGTGAAGGAGTTGGTTGAATTAGTTTCATTGTATATCCAAAGACAACAAGAAAAATAATTTTATGTGATAAATGTTCATTTTTCCTTGTAGTGCTCATGATAAGCACAAGTAAAATGACTAACATGAAGGTAGTTATTAATTATACACCTATATATTGCAGAGCATGAGGTAGAGAAATTTTGTAAAAAAACTCACCCAGAACATTCAGGTTAAGTCAACATTTAGTTTTAACGCTCAGTGGCTTCAGTGCATAAGGAAAGATGGTGAAAAATGTATTGGGAAATATGGTTCAGGTTTGAGAAACAATTGATGCCAATAGCTTGTAAACTACATAGAAGGCTTATATCATAGATATTATTGTCAAGAAGAGTCAGGAGGTACTAGACAGAGTAAGCACTGAACAACTTTACAATCACAATGATATTGACTACGTCTTAACAAATAGGAAACATTTGGTTACTAATGGGAGTCATTTTCACTGTGCACAGTCATCCTATAAGCTTCTTACAATTGGTATCAAAATAGAAGAAAAGATAAAAATGAGAAGATGGTATGGCATACAATTAAAACAACTTTTACATGAAATTTAAATAACCCTAAACTTAGCTTACAGGCAGCTAAGTGGAAAGGTGGATAGAACTTTGGACTTAGAGTCAGGAAATCCTGAGTTCAAATTCAGACACTTACTAGCAGTGTGACCCTGGACAAGTCACTTGAGCCTTTTGTGTTTCCATTTCCTTACCTGTAAAATAGAGATAATAATAATACCTACCTCCTAGTATTTTGATGAGGATAAAATGAGATTATACTTGTTATATGGTGTTTTACAAACTTTAAATCACTACATAAATGCTAGCTTTTGTTGTTGTTACCTATTCAAACAAGCTATTAATGTTAAAAAATGGGAAATGGATAAAGGAAAAGTTATAAATGCTAATCATCATAGTTTCCTATGGACACTGACTGAGGCAAAAACAGTCACTAGAATGAAGAGGCCAAAGGGGGAACAATGGAACAAGCATTTATTAAGCACCTGTTGTGTTCTACACCAAGTGCTTTACAGATATTTTCTCACTGATCTTCACAACAACTGGGGGAGGTACCTCCTATTATGTCCCGTCCCCCTACCACTACCTATTTTGTTGTTGAGGGGACTGAGGCAGACAGAAGTTAAGAGTTTTGTCTAGGGTCACACAACCAATAAGTATCTGAGGCCAAATTTGAATTCACATCTTTCTGACTCCAGGCCTAGTGCTCAGCACTCTATGCCGTGTACCACCTAGCAGCCACATCACCTTAGCCAGTCAAGCAAGAAACATGGAAACAGAGGTGTGTAATATAAACTTACTTATAAAATCTCTTAAAAGAAGATAGTATAAAATTATGAGTAATAGCTGTGTACCCCAAAACAAGGAGAAGTAAAAGAGGAAAAAAGTTTACAGAAAACTTGGCATGAGACCCAGTTAAGCCAGATCTAAGCATTTAAAGATGAAAATAGGAGGATAATGAATGGATGATGAGTGGAAGAGATCTGTCGACATGGCTATAGCAAATTATATTCCTCATCTTTGACAGTGGAACCACCATATTTATTGTATGTGAAAGTAAAAATGGAAATGACATTAAATAAAACAAAAATGGGAAAAAAAAACTTGAGCCAGACCAAATTCTCTCAATTCCTCCCTCCCCCTTCTCCCTCTTGAGAAGTCAAACAATTTGATGTAGATTATACATGTGCAGTCATGCAAAACGTATTTCCAAATTAGCCATGTTATGAAAGAAAGCCCAGCTGAAAACAAAACAAGAAAAATAAAGTTAAAAAAAAGTTTGTTTCGATTTGCATTCAGACTCCATGAGTTTTCTAGTGGATACCATTTTTCATCATAAGTCCTTCAGAATTGTCTTGGATCATTGTATTGATCAGAATAGCTAAGTCATTCACAGTTGATCATTGTACAATATTGCTGTTACTGTATACAGTATTCTAGTTCTGCTCACTTCACTTTGCATCAGTTGTATATAAGTCTTCCCAGGTTTTTCTGAAAGTATCCTGCTCGTCATTTCTTACAGCATAGTAGTATTCCATCAGAATCATATAATACAACTTGTTCAGTCATTCCCCAATTGATGGGAATTCCTTTAATTTCTAATTCCTTGCCAGCACAGAAAGTATTGCTATAAATATTTTTGTACATATAAATCCTTTACCTTTTTTTTTTTAATCTTTTTTGGGATATAGACCTAGGAGTGGTATATTGCTTGTGTCAAAGGATATACACAATTTTATAGCTTTTTGGGCATAGTTCCAAATTGGTCTCCAGAATGGTTGGACTAATTCACAAGTCCACCAACAGAGCATTAGTATTCCAATTTTTCCATATTCCTTCCAACATTTGTCATTTTCCTTTTCTATCACATTAGCGGGTCTGTTAGGTGTGAGGTGGTACCTCAGAGTTATTCGCATTTCTCTAATCAATAGTGATTTAGAGTATTTTTTGATATGACTGTAGATAACTTTGATACCTTCTTTTGAAAACTGCCTGTTCATATCTTTTGATCTTTTATCAATTGGGGAATAGCTTGTGTTCTTATAAATTTGATTTAATTCTCTATATATTTTAGAAACGAGGCCTTTATCAGAGAAACTTGGTATAAAAATTTTTTTCCCCTCGTTGCCTGCTTTCCTTCTAAACTTGGCTGCATTGGTTTTGTTTGTGTAAACTCTTTACTTTAATGTAATCAAAATTATCCATTTCACATCCTGTGATGCTCTCTGTCTCTTGTTTGGTCATAAATTCTTCCCTTATCTATAGATCTGACAGATAAAATTTTCTGTGCTCTCCTAATTTGCTTATGATGTCACCCTTTATGTCTAAATCATGTACCCACTTTGATCTTATCTTGGTATGTGGTGTGAGATGTTGGTCTATACCTAGTTTCTGACAAACTACTTTCCAGTTTTCCCAGAATTTTTTTTTTAAGAATAGTGAGTTCTTGTCCCAAAAGCTGGAATCTTTGCATTTATTAAATACTAGATTACTATGGTCATTTACAGCTGTGTATTGTATACCTAATCTATTTCATTGATCCATCATTCTGTTTCTTAGCCAATACCAGATTGTTTGGGTGATTCCTGCATTGTAATACAGTCTTAAATCTG